GTTGTTCCCTTTACCCTTCATGTATAAGGTTGGGCTCCATTATAGGGTTGTTTTTTTTTATAATCTTATACTTTTTTGTTATTATGGAAAGTAAGTGGCAGTTCTCAAAGGCCATTACCTTATGCAAGGAACGGAGGCCTTTTTCAAGTAACTGCCTAGGCACCCTGACAACTAGTGCAGACATACATGGTTAGCTCAAGAGGACACCCTATTGGTGGATATATTTTTAAGTATGCGGGCCTTCCAATTTGTAAAATCAGGAAGTAAAGAAAGATAATAACATGAAACCATAATTTTTGAACAGTACCCTATTATATTTATGGTATAAAAATAATTTATCAATATGGAAATTATATCATAAATGTTTATGTGCATTGCATTTAATATAAGTACAGTCAAAAGTCGTTAATCAAGACGTCCATATCAGAATGATCTAAAATCCGGACTTCAAAGCTACAAACTCCTGCGCGCGTAAATGCTGCCATATGCATTTACACATGCGCATAATACTTTTACACATGCGCGTTTAATGTGTAACGGACGGTATAACTAACTAAAATTATCAATTATATTCAGTTATGTTGCTGATTGCGTTGTTCCTTAATCTTCGAATTGGATCCGGCTTATATTTTTGCTGATTGTTAAGCAATTTTATAAAAGTAAGCTTGAACTTTCGATTATGTCAAATAAAATTTCCGATATATATTTACTAATATGATAAGGATCTACAAAGCGAAAGTATGTATCGAAATCCAAAATCTGTTTATCAATTTCACGCCGCAGTGCGCAATGAATTGGAAGTTGATCTGTCAGCACTATCCTTTTCTTCAGGGCAGATGTTTTTATTTTATTTGGCTTATAATTCCTTACTAAATGTAGTATTTCATCTCGATGTACTCCATCTTTGATATGATTTAAATCAAATTCCTCGTCATTATAAATATCACGAATACAAATCAGATTGTTTTCTGGTTACAATTTTCTAATTTCGACTAGGCGTAATCTAGTCGAAATAGCATAAAAAATTTTCATTTTCATAGCTAATAAAAGCATGCAAACAATGGGACATTGTATGTTTTGTTGGATATCCTTTAGCTTAAAATACATTTTTAAGGCGTAATCTATGCTTTACGCATGCGCGTGTTGAAAGAAATGTTTAATAAAGTAAACAAATAAATATTAAGTTTTTTTGTTTTTTTTTTTTTTTTTGTAAATTTTGATACCCTTTAGATCATAATTGTTCTTTATTTTACAAATTATGGTTTCATAGTTTTAATTTTATAATTTCTGCATGCCTCTTCCCAGATTTAAACTGATGATCTATAATCCAAAAAATCGATAATCTGGAATCGCCGAAGTCCCGACGAGTCCGGATTATTGATTTTGACTGTATTTGTTGGCCATCTTCGACTGGCCATATCATGTCATTAATACAGACTTTTTGGGTACAGTCAAAAGTCGTTATACGCACTCATCGGGACTTCGGCGATTCCGGATTATCGATTTTTCCGGATATAATCATCGTTTAAATCTGGTAAATGGGCAGAAATTACAAAATTAAATTATGAAACCTAATTTTGAAATAAGAACAATTATGATCTAAAGGGTATCAAAATTCAAAAAGAAAAAGCTTAATATTTATTGTTTTACTTAAACATTCTTCAATGTATAGTTAAGTGGCTTTGTTTGCAGTGATAATACTTCTCTTTAAATCTATAAACAAGGAATAATTTGTTTGTTTCAAAGTTCCGCTGTTTTAATTCTATAATTGCTGTGTGTTGAGAATACCGACTAATTTGTCATCAAAAGTTTTCGTTTTCAATAACCTCTGGGTCACTTTCTTTACTATCGGAACGATATTAATAATGAGGAGGAACTTGATTTAAATCATATCATAGGAGTACATCGAGATGAAATACTACATTTGGTAAGGAATTATAAGCCAAATAAAATAAAAACATCTGCCCTGAAGATAAGGATAGTGCTGACAGATCAATTTCCAATTCACTGCACGCCGCGGCGTGAAATTGATAAACAGATTTCGGATTTCGAAACATACTTTTGCTTTGTAGATCCTTTACATATTAGTAAATATATATCGGAAGTTCTATTTGACATACTCGAAAGTTCAAGCTTACTTTTATAAAATTGCTCTAACAGTCTGCAAAAAATAATGAGCCAGATCCAATTCGAAGATTAAGGAACAACGCAATCTGCAACATTAACTGAATTAGATAATTTTAGCTTAGCTTATACCGTCCGTTACACATTTAACGCACATGCACACTCGTCTTACGTGCACTCGTAAACGCCTGTGCGCATGCGTGAACACGACGCATGCTCAGAAAGTTTGTAGCTTTGAGGTCCGGGTTATAGATCATTCCGGATTATGGGTGTCCGAATTAACGACTTTTGACTGTATTACTCTTATATACGCTCTTAGATGTATGGTGTCATCGAATGTGGCAATATGTGTTCTGCACTGGTTTTTGGCGCGATTGTGTGTTCTGCAATGGTTTTTGGCACGATGTTGTTTGTATGGCAACCCTTTTGACAGTGGAACTTTATTTTGCTGTTTGGTTGTTTTGGTGGGCGTTTTGAAATGGCTTATATTGCAATGAAATATGTGGTGGCAAAATTTCAGTCGCATAGTTTGGATTGTGTGCAAGGTAAACTAAGGATTAAAAGGTACCATGTTAGAATTGTTAATGAGTGTTTTGTTCATGGGTGTGTTTATGCCAATCAAAGTGTATATTTGGATTTTCTGTGGGAGTCGGGACTTCTGAAGCGGAGTTTGGCATGTCCAAAATACGGAGCTGATATGAGAACTCATACAAAGAATGGCACTTGTATGGGTTTGGAGGCAAATGGTTGCAGGTAAGTATGTGGCTGTCAGCAAAGTTTAAGATTTGGATCCTGGTTTTCATGTAGTAAGTTAACTTTGGAGGAGGTTTTTATCGTTACTTTCAAAATTTTGAATCGCAGAAAGACGTGTGATATAGCAAAATTGTGGCACTTTTGGTTACAGACGTGTGACTGGTGAAATTTTATTCACGAATGTCTGCTGGACTTTGCATGCTCTGTGTCTCAGAAGATAGGGGGGAAAGGATAAAGTGGTGGAAATTGATGAGTTTTGGCTGATGTTTGAAATTTATATTTCTGCTGTTTGAAAAAGCATTCACAATGGTAAGTGCATTTTATTTTATTGTTGTTCTTATTTTGTAGAATGTTATGTTAATTTTTTTTTCTATGAATTTTTGTCATTATTGTTGTTTTTTGAATTTTTTGTAATTTATTTTACTTTTTTTAGTTTATTTTGTTGATTTGTACGCAATGTTGAGGCTGTGCGCATTGCATAGATTGTGCAATTTGATGATATTTTTTCAAGTTAAAACAGAACACTATGTATATGGTATTGTTTGAAATTTATTGTTGTGATGTTAGTTTATTTTAGCAAGGTGTGCATAATTCCTAGATTTCTACGCAGCATAGATTGTGCAATTCTCTGATATTTTTTAAAGTTAAAACAGATCACTGTGTACATGGATTCTTGTCAAATATATTTGGTTACAAACTTTACATTTTTGCTATCTAAAGCTTTTGTTTTGGATTTTTGGCATAAATTGTGTGTTGAAAACATGGTTTTTGCAGACGTTTTAGGCTTAAAGTTCGAAATGTAGACAAAATTTAGATAGGAATATGGTGCCACGGAAATTTGTCATCAACCGAGGGTGTGTATAAGCGTAGTTCCACCTTTTTTTTTTTTTAATGGTAGAATCTCATAAATTCGAAATTAATCTCCTGTAAAGGCAGGCCCCAAAATATATATCTATATATATATATATATAATATATATATATATATATATTTTTTTTTCCAAAATGCAGAGAAAATGCTGTAATGACAGTTAATTTATGTCCTTGTTCATAAAAGGAAAGTGGCTTTTTGAGAATCATTTGGTGTTACATCAAATGAAAGTGGATGTCACGTGTGTCTTGTTACTGCATGTTTATCATTACTGGCTCTTGATCGCACTGCCTGGCGAATTTTTACAGTCTATGGGATAATAGTTAAGTACCAAATTATTTTGCATTTTATTGCAAAAATAATAAAACATAAGTTTTCAGGTAAATTAAATTGCTATTAGTAAATTTATACCAACTCCATAGTTACATTAATATTTTCCAGAAGAAACCTCACCCTGGCATTAACTCTAATAACTTAGTATTATTCAAGGGAGTTAAATAACTCAGCATTATTTAACTATACTTTTTATGTAGGATTAACCATATGTCCTTGTTGAATATGATAATAAACATTAAATTGTCTTCTTTATTTAAAACTGTTGGACCAAATGAACACTAAAGATCTGAGGCCAAGTAAAACTCTGTTGTCTGCATTTTGTGTCTTGCTGTAAAGTAAATTTATTATCCATTTCTGTTTAGAAAATTAATATTTATATATTTTAAACATTTGAAAATAATATAGTATGCTAAAATAATATTTATTCCTGAAAGGTAAACATCAAAACCAAGCACTATTATTAATCAAAATTAATATTCACTACAATAATAATTGTTTGACTTAAAATTTTTATTTAATTTAGGCTCTTCCATTATGGGACTGGACAGATTTATATTCTGAAACTTGTTTATTGGATAACCCATTTTATTCAGATGAACAAATATTTATTACAGATTGCCAGGTATAATATTTGCAGTTATTCATTTTGATTTATTCTGTTGCTAATATTTTATGCAGCTGAAACAAATTTGTATTTATTAAATTTAAAATTCAAAGTTTTGTAATAGCCTTAAAATTAATAAAATCTGTTATAACTATGGAATTTGACATATTTTTAGTCTTTTTAGTAAATTTTATTTTGAATTGAATTATTTACATCCATAAATTTTTCATTGTATATCATAAATGAAATTTGTTCTCATTGACTTGTTGATAAACTCCTGAATTGTATTGTAACATTTGTTTTGCTACAGAAAACATATGGTTTGGCCTAAATAGAATTAATTGTTTTGTGCATGTTGCTTCCAAGCCCTAGCTAGCATTTTCAGCATCCAGGGACAATGGAGATTTTGCACATCTTCTGTGCACTAAGAATGAAAAACATTTCATTCTAAAATTTCATAATATTAGTTTGCTGCTTCCTGAATGCTCCATTTGGGGACAGATATCCCCCCTTACAGCTATGCCGTTGTGTTGCTCTTTGGTTTATTACTTTCACAATAACCATTTTCAAATTTTGATCACAAAGATGTCACTCTTTTTCATCCCTTGTTCAATGATCAAATTTGCATTTAGTAATTTTTTTTTTGTAAAATAAGAAAGATAAAAAAACACCATAATATAATTTAATAATCTATATTATGGTTTTCTAGACTTAAGAATATAAAACACTGTATTATAATATTATTATTATCACGTAAAGAATTATTGCATTCTTTCACATATGGTCTTGTGATGTAAGTGATTAGTATGTTTATTTAGCAGCTAGAAGATCTGCAGTTTGAATTCTGTTAAATATATGGTTAATTTTCCATGCCTCCCCCCCAAAGAAGACTAATGGTCTTTACAGTGGTGTCTGCATTGAAATATGATGGGTGATAACTCATCGTTACTTAGATTTGGTCGACTAGAACTCATGCCTCTTCACAGTTGCCCTTTAAGTAAGGCAGAATAAAAGAAAGTACTAACATATTCTCACCATGTATGCTCTTATGATGTAAGTGGTAACCATGCCCAGCTGGCAAGTAGAAGATCTGTGGTTTGAATCCCACCAAGGTATAGTTGATTTTTCATGTTTGCTGCTCTAAAAAATCCTAATGTTCTGATAATCATATCAGCCTTCAGAATTTCTAATTATGTAATTTATTGTTTGTGTTGTGTCCTTTCGAAATTTTTCAGTAACCTGATCAGATTTTATGGCATATATAATGATTAACCAAAGGCTCATATTTTGGCCAGTTTATTGCTATTTTTGAGATAATTGATATAAGATCCGCAGAACACAACAAAGTGTGAACCTATGATTATGTAAAAGCAATGACATGGCCTTGTCAGATTTCCCAGATTAAATTTTTAATTTAAAGTTATAGAACATTAGTAAAATAAAGAATTTAAAATATATTTTTCATACTGTCACTATTAATTTCCTTAATTATGCCTGCCCAGACTCTTTCAAGCATACAACACCTTGCAGTCCAATAAATAAAGAAAATTAGGAGAATCGTAAAGAGGTCCGATGAAAGAACATCTAGCGAAGCAGTACAAGAAAAAAGATGCTCTCTGGTCATTGGAGCAGAGGCACAAATTCTGGGGAGTCAGCAAGTCCAAATCTGAAAAGAAAAGGGCCCACCAGCGGCCGAGCGGTAAAGTCGCTGAACACTGGTAGTTCGGTCCGAGGTTCGAGTCCCACGAACGGGCTGGCTGCATGGGCGTTTTCGTGGTTTTCCTCATGTGTAACATGTATACGAATCAGTTTCCCTTAGAAAGTCCTCCACGAAAGGCATCCCTCCCCTCAGGCAGATAGCCCTCGTGTGCTTTGCCATAATTAAATACACCAACACCAACACCAAATCTGAAAAGACAAGCCTGTAAGTAATCATGTTACATCATAAATTCGAAGTAAGCCACACCAATAGCTCTTGGCAGAGAAACACAGATCTGTTTGTCCAGTAAGGAGCACCAATTGTTTGCTTTTGCAACATCCCTGTAATGGCAGAGTCTGGCCTTATGGATGTGCTTTGTAATAGTCCATTTGATGGTTCTTAGAGGAACATGTAATACAGGTTGTTTAAATCCACAGCCCTCTTTAGTGAGCACGTCTACCTGCTCATTGCCAGGAATATTGTTATGACTAGGAATCCATTTAAAGACAACATCCCTTTCTGACCGAATTAGAGTGCTAATTAATAATTTGCACTCAAACTCAGTTGTTAGAAGGTCAACCTGTAATAGTTTGAATGGAAGTCTAAGAATACGCAAATAGGACAATATTTTTATCAGCTGTATTTTTTAAGACATGGAGGGCCATCAAAATAGATGCAATTCAGTATCAAAGTTCTCACAAAAGTGCCCAACTGCCTCACTTAGTTGAAATGATTCTGAAAAGACACAGCACCTCCTCTTCAGCTATCACAGAGGCATCATTATATATATGAATTTATTGTGCTGTAGGATATCTCTCATAGATACCAGTGCTATAGTTTTAAGTTCAACATGGAGAGAAGAACTCTTTTTGCTAATAATGAAGTCAAAACCTGCTTTTGTGTAATGCAAAAAGCCTGGGAAGATATTGTTGCATGTGTACGGGTTTGTAATAGATTGAATGCACAAGTTTGATGAAAAGTTAATAAAATTTATTCTTATCACAAGAAAATAAAACAAAATGCTGAAAACTTTCCTCACAGATATTTATACAACATCACACAGTACTACTTATATTTTAAACTACTAAACTGTTAAATAGAACACAATTCAAAAGTGCAGAGAAAGCTAATCCAATCTCAAAATTACAGCAGCTAAGTAAAACAACAACAACTTGGTAAAAAACTGAACTGAGATGTTTTTCTCTGGCCTTTATAGAGTTTTAGTCAGTCACAAGAAGCTTCTCTTACTTTCCATTTACTTGAGGTTTCTGGAAAGCAAATACAATACATACAAGGAGTACAATTACGAGATATCTATTTATTAAATGCATATGCTCTTGTATTTTTACTTTTCCAGCATGGCTTTCTCTTAAAATTCGTTATTTGTTACATTGCATGGGGAAATAAAACAATTTTAATTATAATTCTACTAAAATAAGCAAATTAAATGCAAAATCCGTAACAATATATAAAAATAGTCAAATGATTTAAAAGAAGCCCAATATTTCTTGATAACTGATCAATCATCACAAGGACAGAATTTTGTGTGTTTAGTCTAGACTGAGCTGGAACATAGACCAAAAGGTATCTTTATGAATGAATCTTTCATCCACATTCAAAGTGCCATCCGGTGGCAACCAGCCAAATTGTCCCTACAGAACTATCACTATGGGAGATGTGACAATAAGCCATCATTGTCATTTGTCTTGTACTGAGGAAAAAATCTACTGCATAAATTTTATCAACTATAATTTTTTTTATGTCTCTGAAGATGTAATAAATTTGACGCAGTAAAGTAAACTCAGTAAAATAAGGATAAAAAATACTCAATGTTTTTTTTTTTTTTTTTAATTTTCAAAGAAAAAAAAAATTTTTTTTTTTTTTTTTTTTTGTGACAGTGTTCAAAGCATATTTTGTCTTTTTGGTACATCCATAGACCCACATTGCACGTTTCACACATGTATCTTCTTCAATGAGGTTTCTTCCTTGTGCTACAAAATATACATTGCCTGGATCTAAATTTCACTGGTATATGTGCAGCATTATTTAGTTTCTTTTCACCTGGCACATGAAAATTGTGGTTTTTTAATGGGGGGGGGGCTTGGTCTTTTTGGCTTTGGTACGGATAATTCGTTTCCCATTCATACTTATTTTATTCGTATTTTGTCCCAAAATGTTCAGAAAATATTTTAAAGTTAAATAAAACTTTACACGATTTCTATTTTTAATTATAGCAAAATATATTTACATTAAATTTAAACCTCAGGAAATAATTTAAAATCGCAATACTAGCTTGGGGAGCAAGTGTGTTGAGGTCAGAGAAATGTCTCAAAGAAATTGAGAAAAAGAAAGACCTTTTTACTTGGCAGGTGCATGTATTGTTTAGTATTAAAATAACTATGTGGTTTCAAAACCCCTTATCTATATCCGGGTAAAAATAAACATTCCTATTTGAGAAGCAAGCAAATGCTATTGTGAAGGGTAGTGGTTTCAAGAGAGAACGCCTCTAGTGGTGCAGTGGTCGTGCCCTGAAACCACAAAGCAAATACCATACATATAGAGGGGTTTTTTTTATATATGCAGTTTAATTATTGCTATTTTTTATCGTTAATGATAGAAATCATGATGTGCGATGAATAACTTTTGAAATTTAAAGTTGTTTATATTAATAAAAGGAAGTTATTTTGTCTCATTGAAAACGAATTTTAAAAGGCATCAGATTTGAAGTACTAAGACCTAAAACATGTATGATTCTGCAGTCATTTTGTGTTATTTTAGAGGTAAAAGATCAGTAATGAATTGATTTTCACTCAAAAATTTCCGAAAGAAGAGGAGAAAAAAAGTAGAAAATTGGTGGTTTCAGGGTGCGATAACCGCGTGTCAATGGGTTAAGCATGTATTTGAGAACAGTGACCATGTTACTCAGAATAGTATCAAAAGAGGATGTAAAAAACGTGGTATGACAAGTAACTATAAGAAACCAATGACATTTGACAAGCATTTTATTTTAGAGCATATTTTAATAAGAAATTGGAATGGATCTAAACAGCTGACATTCTAAAACTCCATTTGAACTGACGCTCTGTCACTGGACCAAAAGTGTCGATAAAATTAACTTGCACTCTTTTGGAAAAAAATCGAAACACCATGAAGGAAGTGGCTGTTTTTGATGAAATTCAATATGTGTATAGCTCATACACAGATAATAAAATGTTTAAAAAATCAAGGTCGTAGTACCTGTTCACGGCTCGCAATCATCCATTGAGTGTTCAGATTAGTAGTAATTGGTTAAACCTTCCCTGGTGCCAATGCATGCTTGAATTCATTGAGGCAAAGAGTGGTAAAGGTTTCTAATGTCATCCTGCGACACATTCTGCCAGGTATTCATCAGTTATCACTCTAGAACTGCAATATTTTATGGTGCCTGAATCTGGCAGCCTACCATGTCCCAGATATGATCGATTGGTGAAAGGTCTGGTGATCTTGCTGGCCAAGGAAGAGTATCAACTGGCACGGAGACAGTCCAGAGATATGCAAGCGGTATGTGGCCTGGCATTATCTTGCTGGAAAATGGCCCCAGGATGATGTGTAATGCAATCAACTGCAGGATGGTATTAACATATCGTTGAGCTGTTAAAGATGTACCAAGGATGACTAAAGATGACTGCCGTTATAAGAAATAGCGCCCCACACCATCACACCAGGGATTATTGGCTGCATGCCTTTGTAAAACAGAGGCTGATTGGGACTGCTGGCCCTGTCCTCTCCAGACACAAACACGGTGAGCATCTGTTAAAGAGTGAAGTGGGATTCATCGCCAAACACTATACGATGCCATTCTAATGGCAGCCATGACGGCTGCGACACCACGCCAGATGACTCCGCCGATGCTGTGGGGTCAAAGGCAAACGTCTTAAAAGCCTCTGTGAGCGTAACTCCACCTCAGACAAGTGTCGTGAGATGGTGCACGGTACAATGGGAGGTATAGACGTGGCTGTAGTGCGTTGAACAGTCGACGATGATACCATTGGAGCGGTTCGGGCCTGCCGAACAATCATCCTATCTTGCCTCACATTTGTGCTCCTTGGCCTTCCAGAGCCTTCATTTTGTCAGTAATTTCCTTGTAGCAGTCATTGCTGCCAACACCTTTGCACAGCAGTGTCCGTACGCTGCAGGTTGCAGCCTATTGCTCAGTATGACCACCCAGCTTCAGGCAACCCTACAATGTGACCATGTTCAAAGTCATTTAGTTGTCTGTAAGGTCTTCAGGTATCGTCGTAATGGCATATTCAGTTGCTTCTTTACGGAATTACAATGGCAGCAACAAAAAAAAGATAAATTTTACGCCACTGTGATTGGTTTTCTACTTTGCGAATTGTGCACTAAAAATGCACGCTATGAGTGCAATTCCTGTTCATTTGCCTTGAAACTTTTATCATTTGCATATTCGATCAAGATGCTATATCAAATTTCGTAACGATCGCAAAAGTCCTTCTTGGTGCTTCGATATTTTTGCAAAAGATGTATATTATTGTATGAGCAATAATATTGTTGCAAGTATAGACTCAGATGGTAAGGATAAGAACAATCTTAATAAGCATTAAAGTGTAATAACTAAAGAAAAGAAAAACTGGATAATTTTGAAATCTCACGTGACACTTAGAATTCAGGAAGACCAAAAAATTAATGCCATTGATTCTTTAAGTAGAAAAGCTGTTGTCCTTTGATAAGAAAGCTTTCTTTATTGCATATTTTTTCACTGCTATTATGGAGGAATCTGTATATAGTAGGTGCATAGTTTTTTCCCTTCTCTGCTTGCTTGTTGTTTTAGCACTGTTTATTTAATGATAACATGTCTAAAAAAGTCCACCTACAGAAAGACTGCTTATAGTACTTGAGGAAAATAATTTTGTACAGTTTAATAGTTAAAAAAAAAATAGTATAAATCATTAGCAAGCAAAAATTTATCCCAGTGTGCAATTTTTGGTGAAATTTATTCCAACAATATCAAAACATTATACTTTGATCCCAAGCTGGAAAAGCCTGTTCCATCTCTGTCATTGCAAACTAGTGCTATGCTTCACCATGCTTAGTGAATTTTTGCTTATTTGGTCTAACTATTGCACTTTTTTTCTTTTCGCTGCGTACAGTGTAAAGATATAGTAGTCATGTATCTACAAAAGATGCTGTGATCAGAAATTTGAAATTTTAAGTCTTTATATGGAGATCAGTACCTTATCATTACACTATTAAAACAATTAGCACTCTTTACTAATTTCTGTTTTTACTTTGTGGAAGGAATATGCTCTTAAAATCTCCTTTACAAGTTCAGATACCATGGCCGTTTGAGAGTTTTATGTTTAACTGGGTACAACATGGAAAGATTTCGCTTCATCCAGTAAGGTAGCTTATGACTTTAGTCTGTAAATGATTCTGGTTACATTGGATCCTCAAAGACGGAATCCACATTTTCTTGATCTCTGCTTGGCCTAATATCCAAAACTCCAGATTGGTTATTTGTCTTGAATTTGTTTCCTGCAGCTGATGGGGATTTACATGAATTTTTTCAATATGTGATATAATCCTATTTCTCTTACAAATTTCTTCACAAACGTATGTATTTTTTACCGTAATTAATTCCCCTTCTCTTTACTTCACAGACTTGATGTGCTTTCTCAAAACAAATTATGATCATTTCGAATAAAACTAAATATAATAAAGTTTAATGTTTAAAAAGTTAATATGCAGTTGAATCATGTATGCCTTTATTTACAGGCTTGTGAAGATGAATATCAAATAGATTATGTAAATGGAACATCCTCTGAAGAAATATCCCATCTTTACATTCAAAGAAATATTCCTGTAATTGTAAGAGATGCAATGTTGGACTGGCCAGTGATGAAAGACTCATTTACGATTCTGAATCTCACTGAAGTATACTCATATTTATATTTTAACTTATAAATTTCATTTCATATGTATTATTTTCATAGTAAATATAAGAGGCAGATAGAAGTTTGATTATTAGTAATTGGAAAAATTGAACTTTTTTTCACTGATATTGACTTAAAAAGCTGAGTTGTACTCCTTGCTTTCATTCTTCATTTAAAAATTATATAGCCTCTAAAAATAGGAGATGGGCATTTTATCTTTTGAAATTCACCTGGTTCTCTTTTTCAGTTGATTCTGAGGTATAGCCTGGGTAACACGTGCCTAAGAGAACACTGCTGTTCATTGCCGTGGTAGCAGTAATAGAGATTTGTATCTCAGCAATGAAATTTTTGTGCGAGATGACATTTTGAACACAAAATGAATAATCAGTGATAGATATTTAGGTGAAGAGAAGCATCTTAAAATTGACATTTGTTTAAACTGCAATGAGTAGTAATTATTGACTGTGTATGGCATGACATCAAGCTATAGACTTCTTGGAGAATGGTGTTCTGTTTAGTTTGTGAAACATCTATTGTTTTCCGTTGTAACTGAACTTGATGCCTGCCAGGCCATTTATCTTACATTTATATATGACATGTTGAGAGGGCAATAAACAGGGCAAGAGAATAGATTGAGAAAGGAGTGATCAGTGTAGAATATTAAGGGAATATTAGAAAATATAAGGCTTCATGGAAATAAATACTGTTCTTTCGCATGAAAGCATAATGTATGGTTGTAAGAAGGATGGGATTTCAACTTTCAAGATGTTCCCTCATGTGTAGTAATTGCAATGCTAGTACACTACACTGAATAATGGTATTTTGTGTTATTTTACAGTTTCGTGAAATTGTTAAGGTTAAATACTGATATTTATGGTGTTAGCTTTAAATAATGAAAAAAGATTTTTTTTTTGTATTAAAGTGTTTAATTTATCGAGCATCTGCTGTTATTTGAAATATGTATTTGCTTCATTAATATGGCGGTACCAATATTAATAATTTGTTGTCTCACTTCTGATCTTCTCTCTTTGTGTGCAAAATATCAAGGGCAAATATAAAACATTTATGAAAGTTAACCCCACATTACATGACTCGACTGTGCCAAAAAGCTTTCATCAGAATGTTTAGACCTTGATTTCTTCAGCAGCACCTCACAGTATCCTTGTAGCTATTGCTACATGATGATCTTCCAGCTTATTATTTTTTCTGAATAATGCTGTGCTAGCATTCGAAAAGTGACTGCTGCATGGGCTGAGGATGAGGATGCAGCAGTTTTACTGCATCCTCAGTGTCCAGTAGCCCTAAGAACTACTCAGTTAATTGTAGTGAAATTGAATGTAATAGTTTAAATAAATTAAAACATTTATTTTTTTAATTGGGGAGTTTCTTTTTCAAAAATAAGTACACATTTTGTAATTGTTCAAAATATTTATATTTGTAATGTATATGTTTTGAGTTTTATTTATCCATAATGAATAATAATGACTTCAAAGAACATTAAAAAAAATCTGCTGATAATACTTTGGCTTGGTTTTCCTATTTATCTGATGAAAAAAACCATGCTTACAAGATGCAAAACATGTTTGAGGATTAATAAAGTTTTTGGAGGAAGTACAAGCAGAGAACATATATATTTAAAATCATAACATAACATTAATTAATTGAGGCTGGCTGTGGATGTATTATTTCAGAAGGATTGCAACTTGTTAACATCAAATTTAACAATAAATTTTGTATTGCAATCACTTAAAGATTCAGGCACGCCACTATCTGTGGAATTATAAGTGCACTGAAAAAGGAAGTGCATAGTGATGTAGAACAGAGTTTCTTAAACTGGGGATACCAGGACCTGCAACAGGGGGTTGCCAAAAATTTTAGCAGTTTTGATATTTTTTAACTAATAATTTTACAATTAACAAATATTTTTCCGCAATGTTTCTGAAAGTAGATAAACATAAGATAATATAATACGGACAAAGAAAAAAATGAAAACGTTTTGACGCATTCTTTTTATAATACACTGCTGGCCACCGTAAATGCAACACCCTGAAGGAAGCATGCAAGTAACATGAAATTTACAACATGCATTAGCGGAGGTGAGATATGAAAATGATTAGAATTTCAGTGCAGACATACATCACGCACGCCTGTGGTGCCACTTTAAAGAGCTATTTAAGGCTTGGAGTTTTTGACGATTTCAAGTTCGTCAATTGTGTTTTTTTTTTTTTTTTTTCAAAAAAACGATCAATTATGCCTCTTAGTAAAACAGCGATCATCGTTTGATTAAGTATTCGAGTTTGCCAGAGGAAGGATAGCGGCCTACCAAGAGTGTGAATTATCTTTCAGGGAAATCTGTAGTCATGTTGGACGAAACCAAACAACTGTAATGTGGATATGTGACCGTTGGATGCAGGGTACAATAGACCAACGTGTTCAATCGCATCCACCTCAGTGCACCACTTCATGTGATCACAGGAACGTTGTGCGCATGGCAGTGACGGATCACTCAGTCACATCACGAACCATAGCACAGCACATTCAGTCTGTAACACATCAGTGTCTGCGCGTACCATTCGACGCCATTTATAGCAGAGTGGTCTGTCTGCAAGATGTTCATTGCTTCGTCTACCCTTTGACGCAGAACCACAGACGTCTCCTCCGCCAATGGTGTGATGAAAGAAGGATGTGGACAGGAAAATGGAATGAAATTGTCTTTACTGACGAGTCAAGCTTCTGTTTGCAACACCACGATGGTTGGATTCGAGTCTGGAGGCACAACAGAGAGAGGATGCTGAACAATTGCGTTATGCACTGCCACACTGGCCCTGCACCGGGTATTATGGTATGGGGCGGTATTGGATATCACTCGCACTCCTCTAGTATGCTTTGCCGGTACTTTAAACAGCCAGCGCTACATCTCCGAGGTGTTGGAGCCAGTTGTCCTTCTTTAACTTCAGGGCTTGCCCACAGCCATATTTCAACAGGATAATGCACAACCACACTTGGCACGCATTGTCCAAGGTTTTCTTCGTCAATCGCCAGACTGAATTGCTTCCCTGGCCGAGTCGCTCTCCAGATCTTTCGCCGATAGAAAACATGTGGTCCATGGTTGCTGAACGATTGACCCAGATTACATCCCAAGCTGCCAGATCAACTTTGGCAACATGTGGAAGCTGCTTGGTCTGCTGTACCCCAAGAACACATCCAAAGTCTCTTTGAATCAATGCCGAGGCATGTGGCAGTGGTGATCTCCAACAATGGTGGCTACTCTGGCTGCTGATTCTGGAAGAAACCACACTTCACAGAAGTCTATAAATTTAATCATTTGATACTTGGTCAACATGTTATCTACTAAATAAATTTTGTTGTGATATCTCTTGTTTTACTTGGTGTTGCAATTTGGGTGGCCAGCAGTGTATAAACATTCATTTTACTTGCTTTGCACATGATGCTGTCATTTCATCTGTTACTTATTTAAAGTTTTCACATTGTTCCATGTCTTAAAATTCAAAATTAAAGTTAATGACCTAAAACTGCAATAGTATATTACAGTACAAGTGAAAAAATGCTCACTTTTACTGTAATATACTAATAATTTCACTCATAGTCGTCGTCTCTATGTGTCGGATATGTGCAATGCTTATGAGGTCCCACAAAATTTTCGTAAATATTATGGGGTCCTGGGGTTGCGAAAAAATGTCAGTGATAAAAAGGGGTCGCGAATGAAAAAGGTTTAAGAAGCCCTGATCTAGAAAGTACACTACCCGACATTAAAAATGCAGCACCAAGACAGAGTGGCCAGGAAGTAATGAAACTGGTCAAACAGAGAGAGACAGCAACGAATAATAAGTGATCTTTATTTCGAAATGATATGCATAATGCAGATGGAGAACAGCGTCGGCTCAGTTACTACGTTACTGCAAAGGCGAAGCCCCCAGCTCCCCCAACCGATAAATTCATTCAGCCATAAAGCTTTTACAAGCCAGCCTGACAAAACAAAAATGAACTGGGAGAAAAAGAGAATAAGCAGTTAAACATGTAATAAAATGACACACAAAGAAAAGGAAACAGATTCACATCATTCACACATCCACTCCAGCCAAGTATCTCTGTGCGTTTATAATATTCATTATTTACCTGGAATAGAGCAGCATTTTACTGTAATCCGTAAGATCTCTTGGAAATTCAATTTTCATTTTATCTCTCATACCAGCAGTCAGGCCACAGGTTTCAACGAAGTGAACATTATCACCTATTACTTTACATAGCCAACAAAGATTGTTTTAATGCAGGGCAAATCTATTCAACTACATGAGAAAACATCCATATCCTGTCAAAACCTGATTTAGATCTATATCAGTGTAGCACTTTCTTCCCTTATAAATAAATCTGTATAGTACAAATATAATTTTTCTTTTTTTCGGAGGAATACCAATTGTTTTTCCATTTTTCATATATACTATTGTATAAAATTTTAATAGTTTTTCTTCTAAAGCCTTGCAGTGTAATTTCTTTACAATTGCCAAGTGTGACTTCTTTTGCCAATACGTCAGCCCTCTCATTACCACAGAAACCTATATGTGTCTTAATCCAATATATCTTAATATTATATTTTGTACGTAGATTTCTATATTTCATTTTAATGTTCACAATAAGTTTATTATCAAACTCAAGTGCAGAAAGTGATTGCAAGGCCAATAGTGCATCAGAAAATATGTAAACACATTGACCGCCAGATAATTTATTTTCGATCCAGGTCAAAACCTCTAGTATTGCATATAATTCAGCCTCGTACACTGTATTCATGAAGTTTAATAAGAATATTTTGTAGTTAGTCTCAGTTCCATAGTAGTACACTACAAATTGTGCAACCAACATTTCCTCCTAGACCTGAACCATCAGTATAAATATCATATTCATTTACAGTACATAATAATTGATCAAAATTTAGTCCAAATATATCTGCAGGGTGAATCAATTAAAGACATTCTTAAAAGGCATCACTTTTTAATTCTATATTAGGTATTTCCAATGGTGTAATATATTTGTTTTTCATTAAAAATTTTTTATAGAAAAAGCTGTTTTGATATGAGAGGATGGGACACACAAGCCACATCCGTTGAAAATGGTCCCGAAAGCACGCACAGCCTCATATCACACCTAATGAGCATCGGCTCGTACGTGATATTTGATATGAGGGATGCAGCTCGATCCTTCTGGCAGACTTTACATCACCCTATGGCCTTTTTGTGGGCTACACCAGAACACGCCAGAAACAACAATGGTAGCTCAGTAGGTTGTAGGACCACCTTGGAGGGCGATACATGAAGCAATACGTCTAGGTACAGAGTCAATAAGACTACGGATGGTGTTCTGAGGACATACTGGAAATGGACATGTACATTACACACACACACGACAAAAAGGCGACAGTTCTATATATTTCGTTCTACTGGGCCGATTGACGAAATTCAGCTTGCATTTTTCATGTCTCGAAAGCACGACTTAAGATGTTTATTAAATTTATAAATATATATCAAGGTATTTTGACATAAAATTGTACTTTTTCTGAAATGACATGCCAATTGTTTTCCATATTTTGATTCTGCTACTCAAATTATGCCAAATTTTGTAAAAAATCGCACAAATAATTTTTAAAAAATAAGCTCTCAAAATTTTAGCTCCTCGTGTTAATTGAATTTGATATATATTTATTAATATCTTTCTTTTTATTAAACTTATTTGATTCTTCCTTTCATATTTCGAAATTTAGGTTCATTAGGTAAATAAAATTCGCCATTTTTTTATGATTTATTTTAAAAATCTGTGTTTTTAAATAATTTTTATAAGTTTTTCGAAAAAAATTTTGAATTATAAACTATAAAATTTTTGCCATCTTAAGGAAGATGTATTTCTAAGCATACTGCAAAAAATTATAGTTTTTATTCACAATTTCCTAAGATATACGTGAATAAACATTTTGAAATTTGGCATATTTATTATAAGCGATAATAATGAAAATATGGTTTACGCATTTTGTTAAAATTATTTGAAAGTATGAAAGATTACTTTTTCGTCATGGACAACAAAAAAAAGGAAAGGAAAATAGGTTGCTATAAATTAAGAAGTTCGTCAAGTGAAATTATTCTTCGCTCAAACTGAAAAAAAGCACGAAGGTATTTTTAAATTTCCCACCAAAAATTACAAAATTTAATATCTAGGCATAATTTGAATCGTAGAATGGAAATATGGAAAAATATTGGTATGTTATTTGAGAAAAAGTTCGATTTTGCATCAAAATGCTAATGTTAGAGTAATTGCTATGTATAAATCTAATATATATCCTAAGTCACGCTTTTGACACATGGAAAATGGAATTTGAATTTCGCCAATTGGCCCAGTAGAACGGGAGATATAAAACTGTCCTTTTTTTTTTTTTTTTTCTTAGTGTACATGTCCATTTCCAATATGTTTGGCACACAGATGAATTAAACATATTAAGAAGATGAGTATATATTTTTTTTCCTTTACAGCTAGCATTCTAGGTGATTGTGCCACTCAGCTGGTGTAGTTGTGATGCTAACTGCCATACTGATGGGCGAGGGTTCGAATTCTGGAGAAGGCATGGATGTTTGTAAGCATAATAGTATCTGTGCAGCAAGGGGACACTCAAAATACACCATGAGTTGAAAAGCCTTTTGAGAGATTGGTGGAAGTGGCTGAGACTGTTTCCTGAGGTATTTTCCCTCAAAACTGGAGTGGAACTGCACAGTTAGCGTGATGGTATTATACCTGTATGACCCAATAGGAAAATTCTGGTGTTCTGTCCACTTCTACCAATACCTATACTCCATGCTTATGTTATCTATGTTTGCAGTCAGTCCTGATGATGTGAGTTGCACATGTTTTAAGAAATAGTGTAAGAACGTGGGATCTTTTATCTTTTTTATGTATGAGAGAGAAAGAAAATAATTATATACATTCCAAAAACTGTACAAAGTTAATTTTTATGATTGAAAAAATCCTCCTGATTTCTGAAAAAGAAGGAAAAAAAAAAAAAAAAAAAAAGGGTCTTTCAGTATTTCAGTTTGATAAGTTGGCATCTCTGGTTGCATGCTGAATGGTCATTAACCATTTGACCAATTTATTTAATTTGCATTCAACTAGCTGATAACCTATGTGGCTGACAGAGATAGTTATGCCTCGGTATTTTTCTTTCACTGGGCAAGGATACACAACTTTAAATTTTAAGTTACTACTTTCTTTTACTTTTACATAATTTTTAGCTTGGAGCCTTTTACTAGTTTAGGTCAAAACTTTGAAATAAATTCTCAGTTGAACAAATTTTCTTAAAATCCGGCATAGATATATATTTGAAATAACACAGTAAATCTAAGCAGCCTTTATCCCTTTTTTTATTATATTTTTTTATCAATTTTTGGCACATATCTTTTTTTATGATTAAATTAGTTGTCACAGAATTCATTTTTTGCACCACTGAATAGATAAAAAAATTATCTTTTGAAGGAAATTTGTTTGAATAATTTACTAATATTTGGTGATATTTCAGCTGCCAGTTTATGGGCTGCTAACAGTGACCAATTTTTAAATACGAAAATAATTAAAAAGAAATTTAGATGGATTGAATGCATTATTATTTATGAGAAGACCTTGAAAGGAAGGTAACATCATGTATTCATTGTTATTGTGATTAGAAGCAATGATTTTCTTATGTTCAGAGTTAGGTTTTTCTTATTTTATTAATTTTTCTATTTTTCTGTGGCCTAAGAAGAATAAAATATAAAGAAATTCATTTCAAGCTATTAAAAATGAATAACTTTCAGGCATCACAACATTCTTCAACACAGTTACAACAACATGTCATTGAAATAAAATCACGAGATGTCAAAAGAAATATATTCATTGATAAAAACAAAAACATCTTTGTTTTAAATTTAAGAATAAGATTAATTTTTAATTTATTGTTGTTTAATATTTTAAGTCATATTTTATATATAATCTTTCATATTTTGATGATTTAAAAATAATAGGAAATTATTTTATACTGAATGGTAATGTATTATCTTAATCAGGGTTTTCTGCAAATGAAGGAAGATGTATGCATGTTTCAGACTAACTTACGTGTTGATAACCATCGCAAAGTTTTCAAGAAGTTGCTAAATGAAGACTTACAGAAGTGGTATGCTCACTGGTAAGTTTCATAATAATTAGTAAAAGTCAAATCTTTTAAACCTAAATAAATGGAAAATACTTCTTATATCCTGGATCATTTGATGTATTCTTTTCAGGGAGAACTGCCAAAAAGCAAATCAGAAATTTTTAAGAAAATTTTATGCACGACCATATTTTATCCCAAGTGTTGTTCAAATGACAGAATCTAACTGGATATTGATGTCATCTAACTACATAGGGAGAAAGTTCAAGAATGTAAGGATAAAACCTTTTAATTTCATACAATGTTTTAACATTTTAAAAAATCAGTTTTAGTGTGATTTTTGGGTAAAATATATATGAATCGAGATATATAGGACTAAAGTTTGGTGTCACACGGTAATTATGTTCATATGGCAAAATCTTTTTTCCTAAATACAAGTAATCTCATACCTGAAACAAGTTCATGTGATAAAGCATCTTAAGTAATACATATTAAATAATTTTGAGGTAAATTGGATTAACTTGGAAAGTATTCTACAACTTCAGTAATTCATTTCAAGTTGCAAATGGCAGGATTTCATATCTGCCTTTAGAGGAGGGAGGGGAAAAATATATTTTTTATTTTTCCTCCTGTTTCAGATTCATATCATTTGACTTATATGGAATTATGACCATTTGGAAGGATTTTGTACTTTTTGTCATGTACTTTGCCCAAATTAAATAATCTTAAGACTGGATTATTTAATTCCCAAAATTAAATAATGTGAATATTTAATCCTCAAAATTAAATAATCTAGCCATAGTTGAATTTTATGAAAATTAGAAGCATATTTTTACCTAAGCTATGATAGGGTTCTTATTGAAATTCAATTTTGATTTCACCGATTATCCTTTAACAAAATTATTACTAAAAAAATGGAGTAATATCCCTAAACAAACATAACTAGTAATGCCTTAACGAAGCATAATCAAGCACTAAACAGTATTAAATCGAGTATGAGTAAGAGAATAATTTTATGTATTATTACAAAATGCAATAAATAACGGTACTTTTCCGTTTTGCCGGCGCAAATCTCGCCAAGCAGACTTTATTGGCGACAACATACAATATACACATAAAAAAAATGTTAGCAAATGTTAGTTCTAAGAATTTTTTATGAAAGCATAAACATTTTAATATACTTTAAAATTTATAAAAAGCCAATAAAAAAGCCAATAAATTTGTAAAAAGACATTAATTTATGAATTTACTATGCTTTCATGGTTACAACATCCTGATTCGCCATTTCATATCACGTGACACCAAGTGATCTCATCTCACGTAAACTGCGCTTCAAAAATTCTAATTGCTCTCAGTAATTATCTACATTAACTTTCAAGTTAAATCTTAGTTTGGAACACAAGTTATAAATGCAAGAATTTCTTCAATTGCGTACAAATAGCTTACTCAGAAATTATGTAAAACTGCAGTGCTTAACTTCACTAATGCATTCTCAGATTCTCATTAGAATTGATGAATTTATGAATTTAACCCTTGACTTCCTTTCTATATTTTCGGCTTCGGGTACGCGCTGTGATTGCATCCTAATTGACTTAATTACCAAAAATGGCCTTAGACATAAAACTGAACTATCTGATAAAAATTCTATGTAATAATATGCCAGCATTGAAAGAAACAATCAATCTGATAAGAAAAAGCTGCGACTTGTTTTGAAAATGAGGCGTAAAAGGTTACCAGCGAGAATATTCCGTTTGGCATCGGTTGTACCATTATTGGCGAATTTATCGCTTGCGCCAGCAAAATGGAAAAGTACCTAAATAACTAAAAATACCTCTTAAAATTTGAGATTTGTTTTTAACCTTTCCAGATTTTTTAAAAAAAGTTTAGATTTTTAACATTTTTTATTTCCCCGACTTTAGAAGATTCTTCAAGTGTAGGGAATAGTCATTTAAATTAAACATTCTGTATGCTACTGTAATAATCAATGCAGTAAATTGTTTATGATATTACATTATTTAAACATAATAGTATTCTTATTAACTGGATATGGCAAAGCACATGAGGACTACTTGCCTAATGGCAGAGATGCCTCTGTGAAGGACTTTCTATGGAAAACAAGCTCATTCAGTGTAAAAAAAAAAAAAAAAAAAATACGTATAACAAAATTACAATAAATAAGCAATATCCCTTAATACAAATATTAATTATCCTAATAAATAAATTAACCAACTTCTTTTTGCAAAATCTTAAGAACTCAATAAGAAATACAATGAAAAATTGTTGTCAACCCATATTTCGAAAAGAATGAAACTATTCAAAATGATGCGATTTCATTAAAAATCTGTCAACAACAATAAGAAAGGAAAATTTTTGCCAAAATCACATTTTTAAAGATGTGAGAAGTGTACTCAGAAGCTTCATTTAAAATAATTTTTAAAAATACAAAATATTATCATTTTTCCAAAATTCTTTTTGTAAAAGCAGTCGCAAGGATGAAAGTTTAACGTGTCCAAAAATCAAAGAAAAATAAACCGTACATTTTTAAAAATAAACTTTTTAAGAAAAAATCCGATTGAAAAGGTGTTAAGCTCACTTTGTTAAATAAATTCGTATTTAATTGAATTATTGAAACACGAAATTTATTTTAAGTTTGTAAAATAGCTAAGTGCCTACGTTTCATGACGATGCGAAAATGGTGTAGAGTAAAATCTCACTTTCCTATAGCCCATTATGTCTCAAAATGACGCGATTTCATCACAAAACATAAAAAAATTTCTATTCGAATTTCAAAAAAATCGTTTCGAGGTGCACTGGCTGTTGTCTAGATGCACCTATGTACCAAATTTCGTTGCCGTGGATCTATTAGCTTATGCGCAGTGCGAACGAAAGACACAAACACTTTATTATATGTAGAGATTATTGATAGATTTATGAAAATATTAAAAAATAAATTTTCTGATTTAGGCCGATTTCTAGTGCATATTTTTAATTAAAATTCCTTAACTTCTGTGAGCATTTACTAAACAAATAGAAATTAAGTTGTTATTAAATAAAATATCATTTGAAACAGTTACTTGTATCTCACTGGGTTCCATACATAAAGGTGCGTATTTTTTCCACATTTAGTATATTAAAGCATAATGAACACTTTTCAGTAATTATCAGTTCTTCTAGCTCACGCTCTTTTGAGGAAAACATTTTAGTAACCTTATCGAACTCTTGAAAAACTTCTGGTTTCCTCCATGGCAATTTCTGTAAGTTATATAAATGTGCCATTATTAATTAAATGCTTAGTTCCTAAAATGAAGAACTTGTGGAAGAAGCTGATATACTGAAAGATAGAATTAAAAATGCAAATAATTGCTGCCAAAATTATCCCTTTTATAGAAACTGTATTGGATTTATTTTCCTTAAACTAAAATATCCTTTAATTTTCATTGAAAGGAGTTATTAACCTTATTGCTAACTAGTTTATATAGTTCATAAAATGTTTTCTCAAAATTTTTTCTTGAATATTTGTTAAATAAATGTGACATATCTTTGATTACCAGCATTTAGCTAACTTATAAAACGAACAGATAAAGGCTGCATTTCCAATGAGAATATGAAAACTATTTAAAAATAATTTACTTCTTTATTCCATGAAAAACAGTGATTAGTTTTATAATTTCACACTAATGCTTGTTTTATACAAAATCAGAATGTAATTTAATAATATCCAAATTAAACAATTTTTCAGATTGATGCTTTGCCTTCTATAACTATCATGTGGGTTGCTCAAGTACGGGGATACAATAGTATTAGGCTTGAACCCAAGAAACCATGTCATAAAATTTGTAACATCTTGGAAGATACAGTGGAAGAAGGTGAAATAGGTAATTATTTCAATTTATATATAAAATTGTAAAATTTGTGTAAATCTGGGCTTTTTTATGACATGCAAAGATTACATTTTAGGATATTAAATTAAAAATCTTTTTTTGTTTATTTATAATTCATGAGTGATATAATTACAAAACATATTTTGACTCGGTAAGTAAGCAGCAAATTTTTAAAAATGCTAGGAGTTTCCAACAGCACATTTGAAAAATTGTAGCAATTAGCAAGATTTAAATTTTTAAGGATCAAAATTTCTCTTTTGCCAGGAAAGCAAATGGAGTGCAGTTTCAGAGTGCACATATTTTAGTATTTAAATCTAAATTTCCTTTACCTTTATGTTGAAAGAGCGTTAAATATTTATCTTGAAGCAATTTAAGTATTTTTTTTTTATTAAAGTATATTATGATAAACATAATTTATAGAATTTTATCACAGTTTTCTGTTCATAGGTTACACAATATGATTTCTGAAATACAGTATAGATGGCTTTCTATAATCAATCACTCACTTAAAGAAACAGATGTCAACTGAAATAAAATGTTTCTTTGGTTAATTTTATATGTGAAATTAAATGAATATTTTATATAATTTAGTAATTAATAATTTTTCTAAGATGTCTCATGGGTAAAGAAACTTAAAAGTGTGAATGAAAGTAAGTTTGAAAAAAGAAAATTTAGCATATGGGCATTTTGAAAAAATTCAGATTCTCTTAAGTATTGTTAAATTTTATGTTAACATTTTTGACAGGCCATTTCACTAGACATATGGTTTCCAAGAGTTAACTTTTACCACTTTGCTTTCATGTGGTTTTTTTGGTTTTACAGATAACTCATTTAATTTTTTTTTTTTTTTTTTGCATCAATCTAAGATCCTTCTCTCTCTCTTTTTTACATGTTTCAGTTATGTGAATAGATTAATGCTTTTTTGATATGTGATTTTATACATTTCAATATGCTAGAGGGTTTTTCATAGATGTCATGTCTTTTCATATGACAAGCTCATTTATACTCAATAACTGACCACAGTATGATTAAACTGAAGAATGTTTTATGTTTTATATTTATCTATTACTGAGCTGAAAGAGCAACTGAAATTTGCATGATTCATGAAAGTAGGCCCCCCCCCAAAAAAAGCAAAAATTAACCAGCACTTTTAGTGATTTATAATAATGCATTTTTAAACCTTAAAAATAAATTTTGGACTTTAAGTATGTATAAAATTTCAAACAGTAATTTTTTCTTTTTCTTTCTTTCTTTCTTTTTTTTTTTTTAACAGTTCTTTTCAGCCCAGCAGTATGGAATTTCTCATATTTACCTGGAGAGGGTACTGAAAATCTTGCTATAGCTGCTGGAGGATTTTCTCATTTTTCATAGTACTTAGAAATGTATTGAAATGAAAGCATTCCATTATTAATAAAATGAAGGGTTCAATTATGATACTCTATTATAAAAATCAGATTTATTTTACATATATTAAGATATGTACACTTTCAACTGCTTGCATGCTTTTTAAATTTTTTCTTAATGGAATCCTGTATTAGTTTCCTGAAATTAAAAAAAGGTTTTTCAAACACTTATAAAACGATCAGTTACCATGATTAATATTTTAAAATACAAAAGACAAATTTCTGAATACTTTCCTAAGAGCTTGTCAAGGAACTTTTAAAAAGTTGAACCATTATATTACTATCTCCTTTTTGAAATTACATGTTTAAAAATACACAGAAGGGATAAATGTTTAAATATGTTTGCTGAATTCATTAATTGTATATGAACTGTATGTAAGTAGCAAATTGTATATGAACTGTATGTAAACTTGATAATTTACTGCTTTAGTCAGGAAGTAAAATCTTACCGTAAAACAATTTGTTGAATCTTACTGTGAAACAATAGTACAATTCAAAAGTAACAGCAAAAGTAAAAATTCAATAATTTAAAAAGCACAGACAGTAACATTATTTGGTTTTTCACAGAAATGCACAAAGAGTATGGAATTTCTTTTTAATAATGAAAAATTTTCTTGCCAGAATAACTGCATTTTTCACCAACAGATATCAATGTAACAACAATCTGAAAGATCTGGTATTTTGTGCAGCACTGTGTTAATGATCACTCAGGATCATGTTCAAGATGTACATAATACAACAAATACAATAACTGAAATTAACTGATTTATTTAGGAATTTGTAAATTGGGCTTTTCAATGTATGGAAAACAATGCAGATAGGCTCTCAAACATCCTATAGACTGATGAGGCACACCTTTCACTTAATGGAAACGTAAATGCACACAATTATTGTATCTGGGTGAGAGAGGATCCATATGATTTTGGAAACTCCTTTGCATCAGCTGAAGATCACAATGTGGTGTGGGCTTACTGAATCATTCATTATAGGCCCCTTTCCTTCAAGAAAATCTGCAATGGTATATTTTAAACTGTTTCTATTATGGTTTAGTATTAGGTAATGGTTTTAAAAGTGCATCATTCCCTCCATATGATAAAAGTATGTTCTTTGTAGTATAACGTTTATGCAAGATAGAGCACCTTTTCAGAAGACCTGCTCAGCACTCTATATAAATTACATTTGATGACCAATCTTCAATAAGAATGGCTACCAAGGTCTCTGAATCGTGCACCTCATAACTTTTGTTAATTGAGCTATAAGAAGTCACATGTGTGCAGAGGTCGGTCAACATTACTGACCATATTCTAATTGTGCTGTGATTTATACAACTGAAGCACCACCTGTTGGTGAAAAATGCAACTATTCTGGCTATAAAATCTTTCAGTATTTAATCAAGTCCCATGCCTTTATGTGGATTTCAATGAAAACGGCACTGCACTACTGTTTTCAGATTAATTAATTCCCCCCTTTACTTTTGAATTATCGGGAATATATAATAAAGAATATGTAGGATAATATTCTAGCTTTAATTTGCAATAGACTTAGTCTCATTCATTTTAATTTGGTTATTTTCTTTTTCTAGCCTAAATATAATAACATCCTAATAATAAATCTTTTTTGAATGGTTGTCATTGAAAATTAATCTAGTCATATGATTTTGATATAACATTCATGATGTATGTGTTTGCATAATGCCCCCCCAAAGAAAAGTCTTTTAGCCTATTATATTATGCAAACCAGAGCCTTAGTTAAAAGATTCTGATAATAACAGTCATGATGTATATACTTACATTATGTAAAATAAGTCTTTTAAGCAAATCATAGTATTAAATTTTGCCAATTAAAACCTTATTAATCAACAGAAATAAAGTTAGAACCATAACTTCATTATTCTTTGTCTGATATTCGTGCTGTAATCTAAGCACTCTTCATTTACATCTGTATTCCTAACATTGTGTTTCTGCTTCTCTTTCTTACTTCAGATATATTTTACAAAGATATTGTTACATTTTTCTCTTCTGACACCAGTTGTTGTGTTATTTTCTTCCTTCACGTTCGTACGGGGTTTGTATGGATTTGGAGTGAATAATGACGGCATTATTTGATGAGTATCGAAACACTTTATTGGCCAGTATCAATTAGGACAGCTCCAAAACACTTTTACAGTCGTCAAAGATCCACTATAAACTCGCTGGAACAATCAGCGACACAGCCTTCAGGTTATCAGGCTAGAACAGTGCAGACAGCTTCACTGCAAAGTACCAGAGTACAGCTTCTGACTCTGGTTGGATGTTCTTGGAACTTCACATACTCTCTAGACTCTCCACGCTACAACTCACTATGCACTTGACAACACACAGAGCACGGCTCCCGACTCTTTGGTTTAGTCGTTCCCGGAGCTCAACACACTCTTTCGACGATGCACTAAGAGACTCCTTCGGTGAACTCGACAACCCACTCAGGGGATTGACTCGCTAGAGGAGAGACTGCAGACGAGGCACACACACACTGACTGCGGACCAGCAGGGTTTATATAGTTTTCGGCTTGTGTTCGAGAACATTCTGATCTAAACCGATAAGAATTTGTTCCAGAAGGTTCTCCATCAGTCCATGGCATATCGCCAATTTTGTCGCCAACGGGCGATTTATCTGCCAAGTGTGGCAACCCTGCCTTACTTTGCCATTTTATGGCAACCCTAAAACTGCTTTGCGGGAAGCCACCTCACCACGCTTGTACATTTCATAACACTACAAAAGTTGTTATTGACAAACATCTTTTGCACCAACTCAGCTGTTTAATTTTATTTAAGAGTATTTTGTCAAGAATAATAAAGAAGTATTCTAACTGCCATGTTTGCAATTACCTCCTTATGCGTCAGCTTTCCCTGTCAACATCTACATCAACACATATCATTATGGCAAAATATTTACAAGGCAACAAAGCAACAGAAGGAATGCAACGTTTCAAAGATGAAAATTTTGTTTAGAATGAATTGTTTCAGTTCAGATTAATGCGAACTTATTAGTTATAATTTTCAATTCCCAAATTTGAAATCATTGGTACGTATATAAATATCTGTGTCATCAGCATTATGCAAGGATCATGTAACATGGATTAATTTTGAAATGATACAGTTCGGAGCAATTTTTATTATAACCATATACTATTTTTAAGACAGGAAATACCCACACTAAAAAGGTTACACGTGTATGCATGTATATATAAACTTTCCTTTTATTAGTATGCCAACCATTATAATTCAAGTAATAGAATATAATAGTAAGCACTGTGTTTTATATTCCCATAATTCAAGATTATCACCAAGCTTAACACATTACACACACAGCACAAGAATCAGTCTTGTATGGAATGATTAATATTTCTTTACAACATAGTTAAGATTTATTTATATGTTGGAGCTGCACTGCCTTTTAATTCGTAAATCTAGGATGTCAAACTCGCGAGCCGCATGCGGCCCACAACAAATATTTTTGAGGCCCGGCCAATATATCGGCAAATAATAATATATAATAATAAAATAATTATTGTTAAATTTATCGTTACAAGGAACAGATCATATCATTACGAACATGTTTGACATAATTAAAGCATTCAAATGTCAACTAGTTCTTTGGGAAAAACAACTTAAAAATGAAGATTTGACGGACTTCCCGACGTGCAGCATGAATAAATCAAGTTTAGATGATACTTGTTCGTATCAAAAATAGGCAGAAAAAATTGCAAATTTAACAACTGAATTTGAAACGAGGTTTAATGATTTTAGTTCCCTCGAAGACAAATTTTTTTTGCTTTCTTCGATTTTCTCAATAAGTATTGGCTCAGTACCCAGCCATATGCAAATAGAGGTGATCGAGATTCAGTGCAACTCAAATTTGAAAGCAAAATTCATTGAAGTGGGCGTGCCTGAATTTTACAATATTTACCAGCCAGGTTTGAAAAATACTCAAAATTCACATATGAAATTATTTCCATGTTTGGTAGCACTTATCGGTGCGAGTAGTTATTTTCAGTCATGAAAGGTAATAAGTCTCCTATTAGAAACCATATTAATGATGCTCACCTTGGGTCAGCGTTGAAAGTTATCACTGCAAACAAAATTTCTCCCGAAATAGGAAAGATAATAGCAGAGAAGAGATGTCAAGTATTAGGACGTAAACATTAAATTTTTCTTGTTCTTTTCTATATAAATATAATATATATATATGTTTATTATTGTATTATTCGAAATAAATCTACGTTTCTATGAATATTGATTTTTTTTTTTTTTTTTTTTTTTTTTTTTTTTTTGCGGCCCGCCTAAAGTTAAAACCTTGTTTGTTTGGCCCTAGTGTACCTATGAGTTTGACATCCCTGGCGTAAATGCTTTATATCTCAAGAGAACTAATACACTTGTATCAGAATCATACAACTTTTTGTAGTCGTGTTTCCAGTCTAACACCTTAAAAACCAAGTCTGATAACATAACGAAAACTTGTTAAAAAAAAGCTGTTGTTGATTGTAATATTCTTTGGGAAGGCAATAAGGGCGATTTCTTTCAATATAATATACTATCTTTAATGTCATAATTACTCTCAAACTAAATAATGTAAGTTTAATGCATAAGTAAAAAGGGCAGTTTCTTTCTATATCAATCTCTATCTTTTCTCTCAAACTAAATAATGCAATCTTAATGCACTGAAAAAAAAAAAAAAAACTGAATGGTTTCAGATTTCAATTATGCCCAAGGGGGCGTTTTTTTAACGTTTTGTGTGTTACCTTTATTTATCAAATATCATGTTCTTTGCACTTAAACCATAAAATTCAGTTCAACAGCAATGTCGCAAAATAATTTTAAAATGAGCATATCTTTCAAATTTCCGATACACAGTTCCGCACGCTGGAGATAAAAAGGTTCTTTTTTCCCCGTAGAGTGTTGCCATTGCTTTTGAATCATTGAGTTTGTTAATCAAAAATTCGTTAAAAGTTTTACAAAATATGAAATCGATAATAAAACAAATTCCAAATTTGGGTTTTTAGATGTCCATATTTGCAGTAGGATTATGACATTCAAAATTGGATAGCTCTAGGTACCATTGTTTTATTACAATGCAAGAAACATACATACATTTATGCAGATCCTTCATTATTTAATTTCTTCAAATATATTACAGGATGATAGTATTTGGTGACAATGATTTGAAAAGTGATACAGCCTTTTAAAATTTTCAACGCAAAATCGCAAAATGAAAACAATAGTCCTTCAGGGACGAAGCCCCTTTGGACTAAAAACTTTCATCATTAGTAAATGAGAAGTTCATTAGTTTTAGTATTAGAGCTGATTAAGTTAATGCTTGAGCAATGGTGATACTAAAACATCATATGTAAAAATAACTAATATCTGTTTTACTGGAAAATGGCTGATGAGATTCTTTTTTGGGTTATTACAGTTTTGCTAAACCTGCTGTTCTACAAAGACAATAGGCCCACCAGCGGCCGAGCAATAAAATTGCTGAATACTGGTAGTTCCAACCTGGGTTTGATTCTAGGTGAACGGGCTGGCGGCACAGGCATTTTTGTGGTTTTTTCACATGCAACATGTATGCAAGTTAGTTTAAAATATAATGTGTATTTGATGTTTATTTTCATATACACATAAAAAACAGCAGTTACGTTTGTTATACTGAGTTTTCTGAAATCTGAAATTTTGTTTACATCCAAAATTAATTACAGGCATTTGCAGATTACCAGAATTCTACTGTATGTTAAAAAATTTTGGAAAATATTATTTAAATTATTCATTTATAGAAAGGTTTTAAACCAAAATTATGTTTAATTACAAAAATATAGTAATTGGTATGAAAACTTAATGTCTGCAATGTTTTGCCATGTAATACTTAACATTCAAAAAGTCTAAAAATTACCTCTTTTTAGATTCTTTTTGTATTTCATATTTTGGTACAGTTGATATTTTCTGTCGTTTGATAGGCCTTACAGGTTCACTTTTGTTTTTCCTTTAAAAGAAAAGTAAAACACATTATTTACATTCTGAAACTCATACAAGTATTGTAATAATCTTAGATATGGAATATTAAAATATTTTGTTAGATATTTCAAAAGAATAAAATAAAAAATTTTATTGTGACTTACTCCTGCTTCATGGATAAAAGATATAAGAAAGTTAAGAGACAAAGCAATTTTAATACTTAAAGGGACAATAAAATATAAACAATAAATTGCTTGCATAATATAATAAACAAATGAAGTTTATATAGCAATGATAATGTAATGATGTTTAGAAGCACAACTGACCTTTATTGTAACAATTTTTATCTATCAAAATTTTGAATTATTGAAAATTAGACTATACTTAAATTATAAATGAGACCAATAAATGCATATTTAAGGTTAAAATTAGAATCAGCTTATAAATAAAGCAGAAAGCTTTGCTGTTTTTCTTATCATATATTGGGGGTAAGGGAATGTATAATATAGCATAATTTCAGATGTAAGATTTTTTTTAGAAATGGGAGAGAAAGAGAGAAATGTTTTTGTATCACAAACCCATTTTTAGATTAAACTTACTGTTTATAGATTAAAAAAATTACAGGAAGATGATAATTACAATTATTTTAGATAAATTAGGTTTAAGAAATGTTCTTCAAAATGAATTATATTTAAAAAAAAATTTTGTAATGATCAAAATCTCAAAGTTGAATGAATTATTCAAATTTCACATTAGATTGTTTTTGGGTATGTGGAGAGGGGGAAAATTTTCTTTCTAAACAGCACTAAGTAAACAGGTTATCAACCAGATTTGATATCTGCACTAACACTTTTTCTTTGTTACTGATGTTAAGCAGAAATGTACTTGACAAATCCTTGAATGCAAATGGCTCTTTTATGTCCAAATTAGTATAAATAAAACAGCATTTTCCATATGAAAAAGCATTGTCTTCTTTATAATTTTATATTAAATTCTAAAATTATAATACAATAGTAAAATATTCAAAGAAATTACTTTGGTCCTTTTTTAAGTTTCATTATATAATCTGGAACTTGACAACCAGCATTCTTCATCACTTGAGCTATGCTAAAATAAAAATATCAAAAGAGTATTTCAAAATATGTGTACATAAATGTGTGAATGAAAAGGCCTACAAAAATTTGTTTTCATGATTAATATAATTAAACAACACATATAAGTGAATATGAAATTTAAAATTTGTAGTCTAAACGAATCTAAGCAATACAGATGAATATCTGATACGGTAAAGAGTTGTGAAAAAGAGTCATTAATATCTTTAAGCTTTCCATTGAGGTTAAATTTAAATATTTAGCAAACATAATTTCAAGATTTTACACAAATATTCATAAAGCTTTGAATTTCATAGCCAAAAAAGCGCAAAATCTTTCATGACAAGTTAAAATGAAAATTAAATGAGGAGGTGATAATAGTGAGGTTTCATTCTATATAAAACAGCATCAGAATTTTTGTTAATCCTCTCGCTGCACATCCCATGACTTCCATGGGCAACGTAAAAGTAGCAAAATTTGTGCAACCCGCAATTTCCGCGGGGATGAATTTTTGCCGTCTATTTAATTGTGCAACCCGCTCTTTTCCCGTTCAAGATTTCCTTTCGGCTTTTCTGCGATGTTTAATTGTTTATTTAGATGTGGGCTAACAGATGGCTTATTTGTCCACATTTTTGCCAAATATACAAGAATACGTAATGTAGCATTTTGTGCGTGCTTTTCAGAGCTCATAGATGTCTGGCAGGAAGCGTTTCGCGAGTGATATAAACTATATTCCTAACGATACTTCCAACAGTGATAGTAATTCTGACTAAGTATATTGAAGATAGATTTCAAGTATAAGAAGAAACTGATGAGAATTTCTTGGATTCCTCAGCAGATAGTGATGAACCTGAAAATTCAGTTTCTATTGAAAATGTTCGACAGTGGTGCAAAATTGATATGCAAAATATTACATTATGTAAATATTTTCGTTAGTATATATGTTTTTTACCTTTGTATTTTATAAAATAAATCATGATTTCCTTTTATAATTTTCAAAATTTTCCTTTTATATCATTATTCTTCAATTTCAATATTCCGGCAACCTTTTTCTATGATCTAATACCATATTGAAAAAAACTCTTTTACAAATAATTTTTGTATAATTTAACTCTAAAATATATGTAGATTTGAAATATGTAATAAAAAAATACGCAATTTTTGAACCTATTTTGATAAAAAAAAGTACGCAGTGAGAGGGCATATTTTAAATTTCATAATTTTGCAATGAACAGAAGTCTACATTCTACTAAATCATCAAAAGTGAAAGTATTCAATACCTTCTCAAATTTTCAATGTCGTCTGTAGTAAAATAAGTAACAGCTCTGCCTTCTTCACCAGCTCTTCCTGTACGGCCTGTAAGTATGCAAAACCAAAACATCAGTGAATGATTTTTAAGACATTATTAATAAGTGAAGAGCTGAAGCTGAAATGTTTTAACTCAAAGTAAACTTTGCAGATATATATTTTATACATTACTTGATTATTAATAAATGGAGTAAAAACAGTTATTGAAACTTCAGTAAAGAAAACAAGCAAATCAATCAAGAAATTTACAAATCAATATTCAGTAGTTTGTATCATACAGTTAAAAAATCTGCATCATGCCTATTTCTCAGTTTTGTAAGAAAACTCACCATATAAAACAATCATGGTTACATATAGTAAGTTATATTTGAGTGTGATTTTTAAGAATATAATTTAATAACAGCTTTAACCTATAGTTACCCCTCTATAATAGTTTCTAACATGGTATTGAACACATGCGTAATTTCTACTCATATTCTAAATTTATTTACATAAAAAATTTAAGATCTTTGTTCTAAACATGACAGCTTTAATCTATCACAACATATCCCACTACAAATACCTTGAACTCTAACAAAATATCTTCATTGCATCACTCTGAGTAATTAATTTTACTTATTAGTTAAGAATATCATGATAAATTAAATATAAATTGGTAATCATGTATTATGTGATGTACAAATTTTAGTACATCACATAACTTTAGTTAGCTGTTTCTTAGATGGTGCTACTAAAACATCATTTTTAAATTCAAATGCGAGACAAAATGGTGTGCCAAAGAAATGATTAAAACAACAATTGTTTAATTACAACTCTCCAATTTTGCTACAGACGTGTGAAAAATAATTAACTAACAAAGAGCAACAGATTGCATACTACATGGTATACTATATCACCCATAAATCTCTTTTATGAGTCGATATTCATCTTGGATATAATGTGCTATTCAAAATGAAAACAAAGCAAACTTCCATATATGAATAATAAAACTTATTTTTGACAATTTTATTCACGCATTTTAATACTCCGTTAAACTTCATCCAAATGCCTTAATAATTAATCTATTTGAATTAGCTTTACAATATTCACTGAATTTACAAATGACTTCCATTTCATAAAGTTTTACTCTGCTGATTATCAAGCTTAAGTTCTTCATTCAAGCAATTAATATATATATATATATATATAAAATTCTGCATGATACTATTAAGGTTGCCAAGAACATTGCTTTGCTTACAACACCTGTAGATTCTAACTGTATAAAGATTAAATCAACATCCTTCAGACCCTACTAAACTGACAAGCAAGTTCTTGCTTCCAGTCTGATTCAAAATGGTGTAGTCCCGCTAAGGTTAAAATAGCCTTTTTTTCATAACTCTCTAAACTTAACAATATATGCCACTTGTGCTTATAAAACGAAACTCCATCACTTGTGGCTTTTTTAAAATAGCATAAGTTTAAATTCAAGTATTGTAGTCAAAGAGTACACAAAATGGTGTACTTGAGCTGGTTCAAAAATAAAAGTGTGCTTTTATCACTGGCTAGTAAAATGGCCAAAGCCTGATAAACTTTGACAAAGCTGGTGATAGGATGATCTGCAAGCGAAGGTGCCAAAAGCTTTAAAACATTCAGATCTTTGGCTTAAATACTCACACAACTAATTTGCACTCTGTTAAGGACTAGGGAAAGAAAAGTTATAATAAACATTCACATCATAATGATTGGTTAATTGACATATAATTCTTTACAGAATTAAGTTATTCTACATACCTTAATTGCTAATTTAGTTACATATCAAACAATATAGAAGAGATAAATGTTCATCTCGGCATCAACTTTGCCTAAAACAGTATTCTATGGAACATATAGCTTTTTTCACATGCATTCCAACATAAGTAGATTTTACAGTAGTTAGGACAAGGATTAAGATTTTTAAGTCATGGACAACACACGAAGGGCAGCTTTTTACATACTTATTATTTGTACAAACCTCCAAAATCGCATTCTTTTTTTTTTTTTTTTCCCCAAGTGATTGCTCACATACAAAAAGATATCTTTACAGTAAAATGATCAACACACAATCTACAGGGTCCATGCAGCTTATTTTTTCCCCCAAATTCTTTCATGGTCTTTGTTCCATAATATTAGTTACATAATATAGAAAGAAGAAATTGACTTTGCTGTTTAGCACTATGATATAATAAGTTAGCCACAGCATGCAACAGCATTTCATACAACATTGAGGCAGGTATATACTAGTATACATATAAGGTTGATTAGATAAACATAGTAAAAAGCAAGTTATGGTTTCTTGGAAAAATCGATTTCACTTCTCCACATAGTTTCTAACGAGGACTAAACATTAAATCTAACAAATTTTGAAGTTATTTAAAACGCATCAGAAAAGCAATTTTCATTAAAAATTTCAAAATATGCAATGACAGCCTTGTTTGATGGTAATTTCTTCCCACTGCACCAAATTTTCAAGTTTGAGAACAAGATGAAGTCACATGGTGACAGATCTTAAAATTAAGGTGGATCAGGAATCAGTTCAAAGCATAATTTATGCAACTTTGCTATTGCAGCAGTCAATTTGTGGGTAAATGCATTATCTTGGTCAAACAGCACTTTTTATTTGCCAGTTTTTTGGCATTTTTTGTCTTTACCTGTTCTTTTAAATGGTCTAATAATTTTGCATAATCAGTTTTTACCACTGTTTTGCTTTTTAATCAACCACAACAATTTCTTCAAAGTTCCGCAAACAGTGCCGATCACACTCCTGGCCAACAAAGCAGTCTTTGGCTTCTCAAGTGCATTTGCATTACTAGCTGTCTACAGCTTGACTGCCACTTGAATGTGCAGCAGCAGACCTGTATATTATCCACATTCAAGAGTCAAAAAGAAATCCAGCAAACTACACTTAAATATCATTAAATACTGCTTTGATATCCTTCCAAAAAGAAATATTCGTATTCCATGATTAAAAAATGTTGTGAAATGGATGGTGTTAAATTTTTTAAGTGTAAAATAAGCAACATTACTAATTAGAAAAAATTTCAATCATTACTGCTACATGGAAAGAAGATTCCAAACAAATACCCCAAAATGTTATATACTTTTTCAAAGTTAAATCATTGGTAACAAGATAAAATTTGCTGATGCTGAATTTATCTGCAGAATCTTTAAATACATGTGTAGCAACAATAAATAAAATAATAAACAAAGATTTAGAACTTAAAAAAAAAAAAAAAAAAAAAAAAAAAAAAAACATAATGTTCATTAGCTTTTGCAAAAGGTTGTGGCTCAAAGCAGAACAATTTATAGAACCCCTATGAAAACTATTTAGTAGGAGATAAATGGAAATACATTGCAACCCTTGATAATGCAAGGGTTTACCTAAATGACTATGACAAGAAAAGGTCTATTTATTGTTGAAAATGAACTAAAAAATTGTACAAAGACACAAAGAATGTTTCAGTTAGGAATTTACGATTGTTGCAGGATTTTCTTACAATAAGAAATTAAAAATAAGAAGAGTGTGAAAAAATAATAAAATCAACTCAATATGCTATCAAGAGAAATCATCCGTTATTTACAAAAGAAATTTCATTTCTTTATCCTAGTGACTTTTTATCCCAATAACTTACAAAAATTTAAACTTCATGAAGACAAAGCAGTAAGTCATACTTTGAAAAGTATCATTACATTCCTTGAAAAAATGAAAACTGCTGCATGTATTCCATATATAAATTTTCAATGTATTCCTGCAAAGTCCCCTGATTTTTCACCTATGGACTATTGTGCTTTTGGTCTCTTGAAAAGAATTCTTTTTAAGTTTAAACCCACCGGGATTGATGAAATATGAAAAGTAGTCGAACAGGAATGAAAATCAATACTCCTGAAAGTTTTACCAAAGGTCAAGGAATCAAGGAAATTACGATACAGACTAACAGTCCAGAAGAAGAAGAAAAAAAAAAAAAAAAGAGCTATCAGATCGAACATTATTTTGGGTGCCTACAATGTGGTTGAAATTGAATGCATGTAAGACCATGTGTAAACAGAAATGAAGCCTTTAATATTGATGCAAAATTTCTGTGAATTTCTACTGAATTTGCTGTGATCTGAGAAGCTGTCCACTTTTTAAAAAGAAATGTTACATTATTGCACAAAATATCCCCCCACCCACTAATTTTCATTTCAACTATTAAAATGACTGCTTCAAACATCTGTAAAATGTGAACTATGCACCATTACTGGTTTATTAATTACGGCTAATTTCAACAGCATGATCTACAAGCTGAGTATAATATGAACTGTAAGCCACTACATGGGAATTTACCAAATGGCTCTATTTAAATGACTACCAAACTCTATCATACTGAATGATACAGTTTTTTCAGTTTAGTGTTTGCAGAGTGTTTAATATATTTTATTTACATTATAATAGTGTGATAGCTGATTATTTGTTATGCAAATTGACTATACATCATCCTCAAAAATGTTTTTACACATATACTTGATGAAATATTCGTCTTTTTGGAAGAAACTTTGATTTTTCATACAGTATTGAAACTTTGATCTTTCATACAGTCTTTGATTCTTCACACAGTCAAATCTTGAAATGAAGTTTAAACCTGAAAAGATTCTGATATCACGCAAATTCAATTATCTGAACAAAATATACAAAGAAAATATTCATACCTATCCTATGAATGTATGAGATTGCAGTTGGAGGGAAATCATAGTTAATTACTAAATTTACACCTTTAAAGTCTATTCCTCTTCCCATCAGTTCTGTACATATCAAGACCCATATCTTTCCATCAATGAAATTTTTTACAACATTATCTCTCTTTTCTTGAGGTAAATCTGAGTGAATGACGTCAATCCTAATGTTCTCAAACACAAGTTCAGAATAAAGTTCTTGGGCACGTTCTTTACTTTGAACAAATATCATAACTGGAGGCATAAAACCCTGAAAAATAAATAAGTGTATTAACAAGCTGATACACGAATTTATTTTTTTACTTTGTACAAACATTTTGAATCTACACCAGACCTCTAAGCATATGTATTAAAAACATCTAATAATACATATTAATAATCATGTTTGCTACAGGAAAACATCTTAGTGACACATATGCATCCTGTAGTGTTAATTTCAGTTATTAAATTTTGGTTACACTTTTGCAGTATTTGTTTAAATCCAGCAATATAAATTATAAGAGATACACATAACCTAGCTATGGAGATGTGAATGTCCATAGCTATGGTATGGACATTGCTATGTTTGGGCTGCAAGTTCAACATATACAAAATATAGCATCTTTTTGAGTAAATGAAATAGCATGGTCAAAAAGACACCACTAAAAAAGTTTTGGTGTAAAAACAGATATTAATTCAAGAAATTAAAAATTAAACTTTTGAATATTTAACAAATTATTTAATGGATCTGCCAATTCTTCACATCAAAAATGGGGCGGGATATATATACAAAGTTAATGGGGGGGGAAGACACGATTTTTTCATTTCCTTAAAAAAAATATTAAAAAAAAAAATTCCCATTATTAGAATAAAGGATGCTCCTTAACATGTTTGTTGCCGTATCACCCATATCTGAGTGACGGGTATGCTTCCATGGGGGCCTCATCACCCAGATATGGGTGATAATGCTCTTCTTATTCAAGTTAATTATAATTTCAATTGGATTTTTAAAAGGAATTTAATGGAATAAGCACTGAAATACAGTGGTGGCCAAAATTGTGGACACTTTTGGAAATTTTTATGTTTTTGAACTTTGTATGCTTATAGAAAATGTTAAGTTTCACAAATGCAAACTTGTACATATCATTTTAAAGAGAATTTATTACTGAATTCAATTATTTGCAATACAAAAAAGTTATATGTACTTTAATATAAATAAAAAACACAGTTATGAAGTGGTTTGTAATGTCTAGCTTTCCTGACCAATGACTGTTCTTGTTCTGAGAACCAATCAAATGTTAGTAACTGCCAGTAGAAGCTGACATCATGTTTACACTTGGAACAATTCATTATTTTGCTTTGTTCTGTAGAAGGAGGACCTGTGTCTTATACACTGCAATTACAAGTAGGAATTTTTGTAAAAATTTTTAATATTTAGTCAAGAAGCAATGACATCAAATAAAGAGTAGATTGGACACCTAGAAAGAGGATGTAATATTATTGTGTTAATGAGAAAGTGGTCTTTCCTATTCTGAATTGCAAGACAGGTGGGTGGTTCAGTGACTACATCTGGACTCCAAAAGTTTTGTTTACGATATCAGAAGACAAATTCAATAAAAAACAAAGAAGAAAAGGCAGAAAACGAAAGGTGCACCATATCTAATGATGACAAAAGAATAAAAAGACTATGTCTCCAAGATACAAAAATGTCATCAGCGGTCCATCAGAAGTGATCTGAATGATGCTGGTGTTTCTGTCCAGTTCAAGAACAATCAGAGAAGATTAACAGATGTTGGATTGAGAGGTAGAATTCACACGAAAAAAAGCCTTTATCTTATTTTCTCAGCAACAAGAAAAAAAAAAAAAAAGACTACAGTGGCCAACAGGAACACATTAATTGGACATACGATCAGTGGTCACAAGGTATATGGAGTGATGAAACTAAGATATCGTTATTCCCGTTTGAGTTTGACACCACACATGTGGAGAGCCAGGTAAAGTTAAATTATGTTTGAATACTTGAATAAATGTGAATTAAGCAGTAACTAAGGAAAATAAATCGTTTAAAAAAACAAAATTTATTCAGTGTCAAGAAAGTGTAAATTATAATGTATTTAGAAAGATACTGATATTATATTCCTTCCAGATGCTGTGAAGGAAAAGAACAAGATTGATTGCTGAAGACCAGAAAGGATCCTGTAAGAAGAGATATAATTTTGCGTCTCTAAATTATCGTAAATCTTATAGGAAACTTTGTTTATGAAACGGGGCTCTTGTTTTAGATCGAATGTGGAAACTTTTTCAACAGTCTTTCTAGGACCTGCTTCCAAGTTTACCAAATTCTGGCAGCGGCAAATGTAGGGTTTATATTTATTTTAAGTTTAAGCTATCTTTCCTGTCAAGCCTTTACTTTCCCTCGAATTGCCAATGCCAGAGTATGTAAATTTTAGTATAACGCGCAGAGTATTCAAATTTTTAGCAGAAGTAATTGAGTTTAAATAGAAGGGAAGCGAGTTTGTAAGTGTGCTTCTTGAATCACGAGCGTGAAGGTTGCTAGGTAGAAATTTAAGAACCGCGCGTTTCGGCCTGTGTGCCTACTTCGGCAGTTAGTTGAATCTTTCAACTTCTTATTCAGAAAGTTTGCTGAATCTCAGCTGTATCTTAGAACGCGGTTAAGATAGTTACAATTATAGAGCCTCGTAGATAGTGACTTCGTTAGTTATTCATCCTGTCATTCATTTTTAGTTGTACTTTTCTATTTTTGTTTAACCGCCGGGTCGGCGTAGTTTGTGAGCGTCAAGTGAACGCAACTGTGACTTCTAAAGTGAAATAAAAAGGGAGTTAAAACTCTTCTTAAAGAGTCTGTGTAATTTCCAGTTCATAGCAGTCACTACTACTATTGCTGATAAGTTGGGGCCTCTCAACATCACAGCATACAGCAATTCACATAACACATTGCTAGGTATGGCATGTTATCAGATTGCTTTTTTAAAATGCTAACTATTCCAAACACACAAATCTGATTTCAAATGTAATAGCCATCAAACATTTAATATTGTACATTTTTCAACCCACTTTAGGCTGTCAATACACAATGAAAGCACTCAGTTTATACATTTGTATTTTATGACAACTGTGATAGAACCCTTTAAAGGAAATTAATGTATTTTTGTGGCTAACATTTCTTTAGACTAAATTTGCATAAAAATGAAAAATAGATACAAAATTATTATGAGTACATTGTCAAAGAACTGAATGCTACAAGAAAATGCTTGTGATATGATAAAAGCCAAATCATCAAAACTATGCTTGCAAACAGTTTCATACACATCGAAAAAGACTTTTATCTATTAAAATTATATACAATATTTAAAAAAAAATCTATTTAACTTGATATGGACCGTGATTTTGCTCGCAGAAGAAAGCAATGTTTGCACTGAATTTTATTCTTATCTCAAATTTTTTAATACTTAATTTGCTAAAAATTTGCCATCATTCTAAACAGATATTCTCATTCTATTCTAAACAGATAATAGAGAGATAACTACAAAAATTTCAAACATATACTGGATTGAATTATTAATACATTACCTCATTTATGAGGTTGCGAAGAGCTAGTAATTTTCCACCTTCACAACCAACAAAAAGCAACTCTTGTTTTATTGTTGAAACAGCAGTATTTCTAGAAAAATAAGAAGCTATTTTACATAAAGGTAAATACTAGTACGATATTAATTCAAAATGACTTTGAAAGGCATGTTAAAAAACTTTTAACAGCTAAGTCTGACTGTTGTAAAAAGCCATGTAATGAAAATACAGGAGCTTAATTTTGAATTTTTAGCTTGACAAATGTGAAATACAGAATATAGACAGATAAATACAGAAGGAGAACATAATTTTGGATTTTGTTACTTTATTGCTTAATTAATCTTCAGGTGGGGCTACAAGACTGGCTTTGAGAATAGTTGGAAACATGAATATTATTGGTAGCAATCATTGACACTAGCTACTATATCTTACTAATTATCATTTTATATCTATTGCCAAATAAATATTTCATCAGAAATCACCAGATTTTTATTTTCAGCTAAAGATTAACATATTATTTTATTTTTTGGTTTCATTACTTCATTTATAAACTATCAAATAACTCTTGCTATGGCATGAAATAATGTGTTACCAGTATATTAAAGTCAAAAACTAGAAATTTAAAGCAAAATGAAAGATGATCTGTCATCCTTGCACTTCTTTCTTCCACAAATATGTATCATTAGATAATTAATATTCTTTGGCATACTTTAGTAAAAATTTCAAATGAGAAATCTCAAACCAGGATATCATTCTATTACCAGAAAGAATATTTTTAATCCAATATACTAAGCTAGTGTACAATCATATTGTCTTCCAAACACTGGAATTCAGAAATATCACACATTTACTTGCATATTTTTCCTCATTACTTATTTTTCCAGCACATGATTTAATTTCTAATTTATGTTATGTCAAATGTATATACAAATAGGAAATTATTTTGTGTAAGCATATTATCGAAATAATTTCTTTGAAATACATAAAATAATAATAGTATGCGTTTGTATGTACTTTTTAATGTGCCATGTTTATCATTTAAGCTATCTCTTAAAAAATATATTTTTATTATAATAAAAAAATATTATTATTATAGCTTAATATATATAAGCAAGTAAATATCGTATTTAAAATTTTTATATCAAGTTTCATCAAACTGCTAGTTTATAATCTCTAATAACAATCCACTGTATTTATGACTACTTATATGGAAAAGTGGAATCAAGCAAAATATAAATGTTACAAATGCAAATCATCTAAACAAAACAAATTCATTTGTGTGAGCATTTTAAAGCACTGCAAGCTTAACTCTCAATTTTGTAAAACCTTTGTTAAAACATATTATAATTATGCTTTAGCAAAGATTTTACAAAAATGAGAGTTATACTATATATTATATAATATCTTACCTAACACAGTATTATTGTCATTTTTATACCTTAATTTCTCATTTACTCAATTTATTTCCCAACTGATTTGTAGTCTTGTATTAAACCTAAGGTGACAAGGGATTTAGGTTTGCATTTTGCCAAATTTTGTTCCAGTTTTTCCGATGCCATGTAGGTGGTAGATTTTTCATGTTAACTCTTTAAAATCTTGGCTTTATTTACCCTGTAACTAATGTAGTGTAATCTGAAATTTAGAAATATAGTAAGTGAAACTGAACATGTGCTCCTATTTCAGTGAAATACATCCAGCTTCATATCCAGCTATTAATAATTCTAGGTTCCACCATAATATTTAAATAATGAATAGATTATATTACTACAGTCAAAAGTCTTTAATCTGGACTCATCAAGACTTTAATCTGGACTCGGCGATTGCAGATTATCGGTTTTTCCAGATTATAGATCATCAGTTTAAATCTGGTAAGATGGCATGCAGAAATTATAAAATTAAAAATATGAAACCGTAATTTATGAAATAAAGTGCAATTATGATCTAAAGGGTATCAAAATTTACAAAAGAAAAAGCTTAATATTTATTTGTTTACTTTATTAAACATTTCTTTCAACGCGCGCATGCGTAAAGCATACATTACACATAGTCGAAATTAGAAAATTGCAACCAGAAAACAATTTGATGTGTATTCGTGATATTTAAAATGATGAGTAATTTGATTTAAATCATATCAATGATGGAGTACATGGAGATGAAATACTACATTTAGTAAGAAATTATAAGCCAAATAAAATAAAAACATCTGCCCTGAAGATAAGGATAGTGCTGACAGATCAACTTCATTGCGTGCTGCGACGTTACCCTCCCCACAGAGCAGCGTGAAATTGATAAACAGATTTCGGAATGGTTAGAGAAACAAAGGATATGCCTTTATCCATTTTTTGCAGCAATTCCACTTTTTGTTTGATGGACATTGAAACATGCTTTCGCTTTGTAGATCCTTTGGCAGTATCCAGCATCAGAATTCTATTTGACATAATCAAAAGTTCAAGCTTACTTTTTATAAAATTGCTCTAACAGTCTGCATAATAATAAGCCGGATCCAATTCGAAGATTAAGGAACAATGCAATCTGCAACATTAACTGAAATAGATAATTAGATAATTTTAGCTTAGCTTATACCGTCCGTTATACATTAAACGTGCATGCATAAAGGTATTATGCGCATGTGTAAAGGTATTATGCGCATGCGTGAATGCATTATGCATTGATGCATGCGCAGAAAGTTTGTAGCTTTGAGGTCCGGATTATGGGTGTCCGGATTAACAACTTTTGACTGCATTAATAATAATAATCTCCTTTGTCTAACACAGAACTTGTCAAGCGAAAAGTGTTCTGAAGCCTTTTAATGGCAAAATACGTTTCGTTCCTCTGAACGATTTCAGACTTACATCTTTGAAGATCATAAAGGACCATACGGCCTTTCATTCGAATGACCACAACCACTACAAACGGCTGAAATACCAATGTTATTTTCTTCCCTCCCCTAAGGTATGCTGTAGGAAGTGCGATTTCCCCAAATGCATTGTATTAGTTTACTGCAGACAACTTGGCCAAAAAGGATTAACTTGCAATTTTTTATCTTTATTTGTTAGAAGTAGAAAAGAATGTCATTTGAAATCTTTACTCTTCTTTGTGCGTTAATGGATGGGGAGGGGAAGAAATTGCTGTATGAAAATGAAAACCATTTTGGGCGGTTTGTTATTTTAGCATACAGGTTAGAGAAGGCTTTGGTTTTCAAAGAGTTAAAATCACATTTTAATTCTTTAAGCAGAAAAATTTTTAAAAAGTATTTCAAATGAGTCTCAAATGAGCTCAGATCTTTCCCTACATGTATTCATACACAAAGGAAACAAAATACATAAAAATAGGCAGTGGTTAATACAAATTTAAAATAGTAGTATAAACTACTGAAAAATTGTAAAAACTGGGTTAATGAACTAATTAGAAAATAAAAACCAAAATGGACAAAGATTAACCCTTTTGCGATGTCACACCTTTGTTTAGGACACTTGAGTGGGACAGAAGGGAATCGAAGGCAGTCACTGCACAGGACGGAAGTTTCGCATCGTTAAGCCTAATTTTATAATAAAAAATCCGAAAAAAAAGTTTCACTTCTAGCATCATAATTTTTGGTATCATTTTAGATTATTACTTGAGCTCTTATATACGTTAAAATTAAGAATGTTTTTTTCTTTATTTTACATGAAAATATACTTAAAAAATTGCTTATATTGTAAAATAATTTTCGGAAGCGTATTCAAATTATTCCAAAGTTTTAATTGATAAAATCCATCAATAAAGTTTAAAATTAATAAAACAACACAATAAAGGCTATTTACAGTAAGATGTAACAAAATTTAAAATAAAGACCGAGTGTGGTAAATTTCAAAGCAAGGAGAAGTATCACTTTCTAGCTCTTTAGAAAATGAATCATTACTCTCATAACCATACAAGGGTATTCTTCCTCTGATAAATAGCACCTTCCCACTGGACTGGAGGTGAGGCTTTCCGAAATAAAAAGAAAAGAAATGAAAATATATCTGAAGGCAATGCAAAACGTAACAGAAACTCCACATAGTAACCCTAAAAGACTGTACATAGTAGAGGGGAAAAAATAGAAGAAAAAAAGGAATTGGATATAAATCAGACACACGAATGTTTATATTATACACAGCGATTTAAAGAGCCCACCCCTCAGGGTTGCCATTCAAACAGGAGAATGAAATTCCCTGACTTTTCCAGGTGTGTTTCAAGAAAATTCCAGTCTATCCGCGTAATGTACGTTGGCTGTGCTAAGAGGTAAATTAATTATGGTATTACTTGTATTGTGTAGCAAATTCACTTAATTATTCAATAAATCCCAGAGGACATTTATTCTTAATTATTCTTGGTATACTTTGTTTGATAATTTTGTTTAGTTTTCCACTTAAGAAACTTAATAAAATTTAAGATATATATATATTGGATAACAAATGTATGTTTTATTTAATTATTACACATGATTATCACCAGTTCAACACGAGGCTAATCCGGTCCTTATAAATCACAACGCAATGCTAAATAGTTAGGTTAGATTTTAGGTAAATTTCATTTGTGTGAGGTATGCTCTTAAAACCTTAACACTTGAAAACACAAATATAATTATAATAGTTGTTGTTTTCTCCACTGAAGATTGAGATTAGAATCTTCCCAATCTGGAATAAAATAAGGCTTTTTTTGCAGACATTATGCAGCTAAACGAAAGAAAGAAATCTATTTTAATAAATTGAGGTATTTTATATTTATTTCGCAGCATACATAAGGAAAAAATATGTGCATTAAATTTCGTGATGGTATGTCATCATACTGCTATAATTAATTTCAGGATTATGCCAGAGAAAATTTCCTGAAATTTGGAAATATTATTTACTAATAATAAATAAATTTAGAGGGAAGAAGCAACATTAAATTATACGAATAACATAAAAATAATTACTTAAAAATTGAATTAGAATAATCATCTATATTTTAGCGAATATAGTTATATTACATGGCTAGCCTAGATGACTGATTACTATTTTTTTATTTTACTGCAAAATGGCATGGTATTTATTAAAAAGAAAAAAAAAAAGGGTTTAAAATGATTTTGCGGTAAAATTCTAGTATACGGTAAGGCTTTGGCACGATTTTGAAAATTGTCGCCAAGACCAAAATGACCCGTTTACTGCGCATCAAGATGTCGCCAAATCCCATTATTATTCTAACCAAAGAATGTCTATGTAAAGAAGAAAAGGTTCCATACAAGTAAAATGCTATTACGCCGCTAGAATGCGGAGGTAAAATTTGCCAAGGGATTTGGCGACGGAACCTGGCGGTCAGAATTTCCCTCTCCGTGATGTGTACAGGAAATTGAGAAACACGTGTTAAGAAGAAACGCTCTTTGACAAAAAGAAAACTACGAAAATCCGTTTTTAAATTATTGCGAAAAATCCAAGAAGAAACGTTTTATCAAAGGACGTTTCTTCTTGGATTTTTCGCAATAATTTTAAAAATGGATTTTGGTTTTTTTTTTTTTTTTTTCCCTCTGAAAATAACTAATCCATGAATTAATTTACTTGCGCCAAAAAATATTTTATTTTCCTTTACAGTTTAACCACTTGCGCTAAGACTAAACTTCACGGTTGCGGTGCCGTGCGCTACAATATAACAAGCGGTAAAGTGTCTCATTTACGCCGCTCCGCATCGAGTGCAATCCAGAGCGGTAACTCGAGAAATAAACAATCTCGTTGTTAGGCGACGTGTGCACCACGTTATTTTCATTTTTGCGATAAATGCTTATCGACGTGGTGTTCATGTCGCTCGCGGTTTGAGACAAAAGCATCTTGACGTGCGTGGCACGTCTTTTTAGCGCAAGTGGTTAAAGAAATTTTAAATGATATTCATTTTATGAACTCTTGATAACGTGACCTTTGAACTTCGACACCGGTTTCGAGCTTTGGTGACAGATATATCAGACATGCACAGCTGTTTCCCTCTATGATGGAACGGAGCCACAGCCACGTCTGTTGCAGAGAGGTTTTCCTTCTTTACAATACATATTCTTTGATTCTAACCTCCATAGTACCGTATGCTAGGATTAAACCCATTTTGTTTTATACGAGAACAGGTACTTTCTTTAGTTCATGCACTGCACATGCGATTCTCGAGAATATTGGAAACCAAAAGTTGCGGGAAAGTTGCTTTGCCTTTCTAAAAGACAATCAAATTGGAGCTGCGAAAATTGGCTCTATGCCAGCTACCCGAATGACACTCACGTGATACATAATTCGTCAAAAAAGTTACCTCTTCCGACGTCGGCGCAAAAATCGCTTTTTTTGGCGGGATCGTTGTATGAAATTCCCCGACTTTTCCAGATTTTGACTAAAACACTTAAATTCCCTGACTTTTCCCTGAATATTTTGGTCAATTTTCGAATTCCTTGACTTTTCCCGGTTCTCCCGGTTTTCCAGGTAGCGTGGCAACCCTGACCCCTGTTTACGCTTTCCCTCCCCTCCCACCTTTGCAACAGTTGATGAGTGAAATCCAAAGTATAATATATCAGAATATATCAAACTTAAGGTCAGGAACCTAAAACTGTATTCATTTCAAAAGTAATGGACATAGGATGACATCTACTGGCCTTCAGAAAAACGTTCCAGCTTAAAATGCATAAACGCATCACCCATCCTCTGAATGCAATCTCTAGTGATGCGTGGAATAGGACGTCCAGTGTAAGAGAGGTCCTTAGGAAATGCGTATATGGGACGGTTGTCCTGAAAGGGTTAATAAATCAAAAAGCCTCAAAATCAATAAATATAAACAAATAAAATGACAAAATTGTCAACTGTTGAAGTAAAGTAACACATATGTTAAACAGTAAAACAATTTTGAAAACAAACTCTAGAAAAAACAAAATTTAAAACAAAGATACCTTACCGAAACTGTCAGGTTCTTAAAAGTCAAGGAAATTCAAAATGACCGAGGGGAAAAAAATAAGCAAATAGGAACAACGCTTGTAAAAATGGCTTGCTAAAAAATTGCAAATCTAAGCTTGTGAGGTGTACCAGAAAATTAGAAAAGTTGCACCAAAAGTGGAAACGTAGCTTTGGTCGACACATGGAAATGAAATAAAAACAATTAAAAAACCAGCACTTTCTTGGCGTCAAAACTACTGGTGGATTTAGACACTACAATATTAACTTTCATAACCTAAAATTTGTATACCTTTTCACTCTTTAGACTTTTAGCTGGAATTTATTTTACTAATATATACAGCCCAAATGTGATTTTTCTTGAATTACCCCGCTTTCAGTTTTCCAGCTTCAAATGTTGGCAATGTTAAATCATTCCTGATTTACTGATGAATGCTCCCACTTTAACACTAGCATTTTACAAAAATAATATTTTCTAAAGGCATAAGCACGAAGCTATATAATTTGCTTCCAAAAGAGTGGAGATGTTGCAGTAGATTATTTTTCAAAAAGTAGGAATTACTCTTAAACCAAAATCACATAAACTACAATTTAAAGTTGAAAACTGTAATCCTCAGAACTGCTGAAGATATTTATGAGGAATATTGAGTAGATGTAAAGTCAATCAGTTTGAAAATGAAAGAAGGTAACAAGGATGGGAAAACTGTCCCTCTTAAAATGAGGTTCTAAAATGTATAAAAAATTACTTGATGGTGTTTGATGTCAATAAGATTATTATTGACACATTTACTGCTGTTGGCAGAACAATGGAAAACACTGCTTTAAAATATTAAATGAAGCAAAGCCTTTTCTAAAAGCTTTTTTACTCATATGCATGTGTCTTTACTTAAAGCATGCAAAAATTAGTTAATTATTAAGCTTAAAAAATTATTGCACTTTGAAACATCTACCAAGCTAAAACCAGAATCAAAATGTATCCTGAACTTTTGTTAAGGAAATACTGAAGCAATTTTTGTTAAGGAAATACGAAAAATTTCTCTGTGTGAAGTTTCAAAAATGGGAAGTGAGTTATTTAACAGAGACATGTTATGCACTTACTTAGTACCAATTGATACAGAAACTAAGCTATCAAAAGTCATTTTGCACCATTCTTCAACATCATGGCTAAATGTTGCACTAAACATAGCTCTTTTAACATCTGCAGAATCACAAGCTTTGTAGATGATTGCCAGTTGGTCTCTAAATCCTTGTTTACCAACTTCAAATAATTTATCACATTCATCAACAATTAGCCATTGGACCCTTCATTAGAAATAAACACAAGTTTATTAATTAGCATTAAGACACAGTTATAAAAAGATCACATAAGAACTTTTGCGTTGTTTAATTGAGAACTTTGTCTAAAATTTAGTTAAATTATAATGGCTGAATCTTGCATTAAATAAAATTTCACAACTGTCGAAAACTTCTTACCTATGCAAACTAATTACTGGTGGGTCCTCTTGAAGCATGTAAATAAGTCTATTAGGAGTTGAGATAAGGATATCTATTAAAAATATAAAGTAAATTGTTAAACAATGCTTTTAAATTGAAATTATAAAACAAGTATTGTTATGTGGTTTAAAAAAGGCAAGAAAATACTCAATAGTGATTTAGGTTTTTGACATTTAGTTGCAAAACTATAGTATCCTGCATCAAAATGCGTTATCATGCATTCTTCTACGTTTTTCAAAACTTATAAGTACAGCCCACCAGCAAAGGTTGTTGAGCAATGGTAATTCCGACTGGGTTTGAATTCTGGTGAACAGACTGCTATAAGGGCATTTTCATAGTTTTCTCCATGTATGTAGTTTCCCTTAGAAAATCCTCCATTAAGGTATCCCTCCTCTTAGGCAGATAGCCCTTGGGTGCTTTGCCATAAGCAAGTAAACTGCAGAAACCAAACATTATAAGTAAAAACATGGTGCTTTTTGATTCGTGAACTTGTGATGGTTAAGCAGTATCTGTAAATTGTTTTTTTCTTCTGAAGAAACTATACTTAAAACTATTAAATGAAAAATATTGAAAACTTTGCTACGTTGCCTTTGAAGATCATCATCAACCATTCACTTCATAGAACCATTAATGTGAAATTATTATGTTATTATTCATATCCTAGTTGACAACAAGAAATCATAATTAGCATATCCTAGCATTAACAATTTTAAAGTTTGGTAAAAGTGTAGTTTAGGGTATCCCTTGGCAAAACTTGGCGATACATGGATACCGATTTTGTGCAATTCTTTGACTCGTTATTTTGGTTTGCGAAGCGGCGATTTTTGCGCCAAAAATTGCCACTACACAAAGCCCAACAATTGCACAAACTCGGTATCCATGTACACATCGATTTATTTTCACTTAAAAAAAATCCCCGAATTGCACAAAAATGGCATTGCGCGCTCCTTTGACTTTATCCATGTACATGTCGACCTATTTTCACTTTAAAAAAAATTCCCGAATTGCACAAACTTGCATTGCGCACTCCCTTTACTTTGTTCATGTACACATCGATATATTTTCACTTAAAAAGTCAAAGGAGCATCAAATTCTACAATATAGGCAAACAAAAAATACATTTTAAACCAAACAATAAAATAACATAAAAAGGGAAAAACATGTTACACATTTAAGCACTACCAAAAGTAAATATTCACTTACCATGATTTTTGAGTTCGCTTCGTACACTCAGAGCCACATAAAAATCAAAATATCAATCATACTCAAATGACTTTTTTCAAACCAGGTACTCTTTCTGATCGAATGCTTCACATAGTGACCATCTGAACTTTTCTTCCTGCAAACCCATTCAAATCCATCTAAATGGTTTTTACGTTCGACTAGATGCATATCCTTCCTACATACAGGAAACTTAAAATAGCTACTAATGAAACCTTCATTTACATACCAGTCAATTAAAGTTCTTTTCCCCTTTCGCTCCAAATCATACAGAAACTTCAAATTAATCTTACTACACTCGGCCATTTCACCGTCTAAAGAATCAAACCAACACACACCACAAAAATGCCTACAAAACATCCCATGATTCAAAATTTCCCAGAATCATGCACCCGATTATGTCACAGTAGGGTTTCCATAACATTCAACTACTCAGGCTACCATAAATGAAACAACAACTTGGCGATAAATCAAAAAACAACTTCGACATAATACAAGAGGTATGTTAAAGTCTACTCTACCCTAAAGTTTTAACTCAACAGAATATGGTAACTGCATTTTTTTTTTTTTAATTACAGAACAGTAAATGGAAATTTTCTGATGTCGTACGGGTACGAACAGTAAATTACAGATATTTTCTGATATCGCATGGGCTTTCCAAATCACTGACATCACTTGATAGCATTCAGATAAAGATTTAAAACAAAATATTTGCAAGTAATAAAAGATATTGAGAGATGTGCATTCAGTTACATGCAAGAGGAATTAATTACTTAAAATGGAAAATAGGTACACAAGTTACAGACATGCTATTATTAAATGCCATGCATTTTCATATATCATGCATTCATGTATACACTGACTACCAATAAGTATTTGGACACCTATGCAAATGACGATATCTGCGGTCCTAAGGTACGTCACAGGCCTAAGGTACGCCGGTATATATGATGTAGGAAACAGCATCGGTTTTAGTCGCATGCAAGATGCCTCACAGTTCAGAGCTCTCTGATTTCGAGAAAGGTATAATTATCGGGTATCACAAATGTGGCCGATCCTTAAGGGACATATCTAGCGATCTGAAGTACCCAAAATCGACAGTGGCCTATGTGATTAAGAAGAGGAAAGTGAGCGGTGATTGTCAAAATGTGCCCCGAGTCGGCAGACCAACGAAACTGAAAGATAGAGACCGACGAGTGCTGTGCAGAGAAATTCGGAAGAACCGCACCCAACCGATGGCCCTCATCCGCGAGAGTTTCAACAGGCGTCCGGGAGTATTGTTTCAATGAATACCATCCGTAAGGAAGCACATCTGCTTGGTTTTCATGGTCGTGCTGCTGCCCATAAGCCTTTGATCACAAAGTCCAACCGCACTGCTCGGTTAATGTGGTGCAAAGCACATCAAAATTGGACCGTAGATCAGTGGAAACGGGTTCTTTGGAGTGACGAAAAAAGGCTCACCCTTTACCGTTCGGATGCCAGGGTCTGGGTCTGGCATCTACCTGGAGAACGTCTCCTGCCAGAATGCATTGTGCCAACAGTCAAGTTCGGCGGAGGTGGAATTATGGTCTAGGGGCGTTTCTCCTGGTATGAGCTGGGACTCTTGGTCCCCATTCATGGTAAGCTCAACTCCGATGCCTACTGCACTATTTTGGATGACAATGTGCTTCCTACGTTGTGGCAGTTTTACGGGTTGGACCCCTGTTACTTTCAGGACGACAATGCCAGTTGTCATGTTTCGACGTTAACCAAGGCTTGGTATGGTGCCAATGGAGTTCATCGAATGGACTAGCCTGCCCAGAATCCAGACCTGAATCCTATCGAGACCCTCTGGGACGAGTTGCATCGCCGAATTCAGGGGTGCACTACCCGTGCAAAATCAGTGAAGGAACTTCTATGTCTTCTCCGAGTGGAAGAAAATACCACTAGCTGTCATACAAAGACTTGTGGAAAGTATGCCCCGGAGGGTCCACGCTGTAATTACCTCTCGTGGAGGCTCTACCAACTATTGATTTTGAATAAAGTTAGTTTTTCTTTTCTATCACAGGTGTCCAAATACTTATTGGTAGTCAGTGTATTTTGAATAATACCAGAATAATTTTTAAAGTATTTCTTACACAATGATATAATGCAAAATTTAACACTTTAACTAGCTTAACATACAACTAACTATATTAACAGAAAAAAACAATTAACAAAATAAGTGACAACTAACCATGTTTTTTAAGGAACTTGGGTTTTTTCTTGGCTGAATTTACATCCTCTATAATAAGAGTCCGAAGGTTGGTACTCTCTGCTAATTGGACACAAAAGGAATAAATCTGTTTAACAAGTTCTCGTGTAGGAGCTATAATTACAGCACGCACACCGCCCTTCTCTGGACCCTATAAAAATTTTAAGTAAATTTTAGACCAGGAACTTGAAAGCATACTTCTAAAAATATTATATATGTTATGATATAATATGCATAAAAGCTTTGTATTTTTAGACATTGTATGAGCTGATTTTTTTTTATGATGACACATACACATTGATTATATATCAATCAAATATAAATTAATTTTATGCTTTTAAAATTTTTAAAAGCATTCTAATATCTAAATATCATAAAATATAATTTTCTGTTTATCACAAATCAAACTAAATAAAAACTAGCTTAAATTTTGTTAAGAATTGGTCAGCAGTTAACAAATTTAAAAATAAAATGCTGATCGTTAAACTTCTCTTTAAATGACTACACCATTACTGTAACAAAAGTTGGGGAGCTATCTTTCAAAATATTCAGGATATACTAAATAATTACCGATAATGATTTAACGTAAGAAAATATATAATTAAAGTTGGAAAATATACACTTGTACAGTAAACCAGTATAAGTGAAGAGTGTTGTTCCAAAAAGAATAAATAATTTTCCATTATTATATTTACTATTAAAATAGTTTGTGTTTTATAAACCCATATCAAGAATATGCTTATTATAACTTATTAAAATGGACTCTGATTTTCTAATTTTTATCCAACTTATTGCTTAAGTAATGCTATTCTTTTTATGTAATTGTATGTAATTCAGGTTTATTGAATACAGTATTATTTATTTCATGAGAATAATTAGAACTTTTAACTTGCTGGTTTTAGTTACGCATATATATAATCACATGTAAATTTATTTAAATAATGTAGATATTTTCAAATGCTTTTTTTTTTAATTGAATTCATGAGTATTTTGCATATTTCTGAATATTTAGTTTAAAAACTAAATGATGTTTATGAAAATGTTATCTGTTTAAAGATACTATCGGCAATTTACATGCTACTTATTTATTTAGCGAAGAATGTTCAAGTCAGTTTGTTGTTTATAAGCCACTGTACGTTCAAGCGCTTTTTTAGTGATCAAACATAGTGGTCTAAAATGAAGAACAGCAACCCTCTTAGACTCCTTCTGAGAGCTGTCAGTTAGAGATCTGCAGGGTTCCAGGAATAAGGGGGTAACTATGACATCTTATAGCCACTTTAAGGTGGATGTAACGCTTCCGAGGCTGTCGCCAACAACTGACCCTTGACCACCTACATGCAACCCAGGACTAAAGAGAAGGGCTAGCTCATAGAGCGTTTCCCCCTGAAACATGCAGTGAGGAGTGATGACGTAGCAGTGATGCCACTGAGCGCGGAGATGCAATTGACAACATAGAAATTAGCGCTTTAAATTTGAAGAACCAGCGTTTAAAATGAGCTGTGTGTGAAAGATAGCTATAATTTGGAAGAGACAATGTTACTGCAGTATGCATTTTACACTGAACATTACAAAATTTAATAGTACTTACTCAATTTTAAAATAATAGATAAAGCGCGCTACTCTTAGCATAAAGTTCCTTTTTTTATTTGCAGGGATTTTTTTTTTTTTTTCTTTAAATGCCTGTTTGTTTCTAATCATTTCTTTATCTGCATGTTAACTAAGAGAACTGTACTACTGCTTCTAAGATAACTATAATAACAGCTACTTAAAATTAATCAAAAAACAACCTTAAATTGGCATAGTTTTAAACATGTATGGTTATATATGACAAAATTTCTGCTAATCTAAGTTTGAGTTTCAGCCTAATTGTAAATTTTACATTGGCATATTTTTATCCCGATTCAATATAACAACATATATTTTTTTTAAATAATTTTGTAACTTAGGCTTACATCAATATTTCATTTAAATAAATACATGTAAGATTCTTATCTTAATTTAGACAAAACAACTTTACTCACAGTACCTAAAATAATTATTTAATTTTTCAAAAGTGGGGGTTAGGGGGCAGGTCTTCTTATGCCAATTACTTTAATATCATACTTTATATATATTTTATCTAGAATGCTAAGCTAACACAAAATCGAATCAATAATAACAGAGGATACAATAAAAATAACTGTAACAATAACTTAACAGAATTAGTTCTCATTTGAAATATGCGCTTTTAACTTCTAAAATGCCATCTAGAAATATTTCAAATCAAAACATATTATATATGCTTACTTGTACAGTCGCAATGCAACTACAAGTCGTTGAAACATTATTTATTAGCTGCCACATTCGAAGCAATCCATTTTTTTGCCTTTTGGGTTGCTTTTCTTTGGGAAAAAACATATGCATTTCTATTTAAGAAACGTATTCTAATAAAAGTTCTCACTCTGCAAAATAAACGAATTGCTTCTCTGTTAACTTCAGGATAATATTTCTCCAGTTTATTAATTAAAGAGCCAATTACACGCTTCCGTTTATAGTAAGTTGTACCATGAACTGCACAAAATACGTTTTCGAACTCATAAACTGTATTCATCCATGAATGAGAAGGTGTAGTCAAACCTCCTAAGGACAATAATTTAATCCATTCTGAATTAAATATTGGTTCATCAGCACTATTTTTAGATATTGTTCCCAATGATGGGTCTTTGTCTCGCACACGATAGGCAATATAACCTGCAACATATGTTAATGCTTCTTTTTCGGCTGTCAAAAATTGTCTGTCGGAATTCAATTCTAATTCCCATGCCATAGGAGAAGGTTCCTCTATGAAATCCAAATTCAAATCATCAATAGTATTTAATGGAAAAGCATCTTCCTCCTCAGTTTTCAAAGCCCTTTCAAGTATTTCGGATGTTAAATATGAATCAATATTTCTGCTTTCTTTAGTCATGCATACTTTTGAAGATAAATTTGGCAGCTTATTAGCGAGTATTAATTGCTTTAAGCGGCGTATAACTTCACTAGGTGATGGATGGTCATTAAACCTACCAAGCCCTCGAATCTGACTAAAGAGACTTTCAAGTGCATCCTGAGTTAATCTAGAGGTTAAAATATATTTAGCATCATACGATGATTTCAAATCCTGGTGTAGGCCAAAAAGAGAATTTATTGAAATTATTATTCCTTTTTGGAAAGGCAATAAAGTTGGCTTTTCCCTGAACTCTTAATCCACCAATGACTTTCTTCATTAATTCCAAAACTTGAATTTGTTTTTCATGATGTTCATTTAATCCAAATGCTGCTTTAAGTATTTTATCTGAAGGAGGGTATGTTTTCGTACTATTCATAATATCGAAAAAATTGTCGATTAACTCAAAGAAGTCGGATGCTTTTTTATCTCCTGTGAGGTGGAGTATAACTTTTGCTGTACTTCTTGAAAATAATGTTTTCGCTGGAGCGACTTTTTGTCTCTTGTTTCCCTTGACCATTAAATAATTTGGTTTTAGTTTGTGACACAATTTAATTTCTCCTGAATCTTTATTTAAAACCTCTTTAATAATATCAACATTTAAAACAGTTCCATCTTCTAAAACAAATCCTTTATCTAAAAAGTGGTTTCTCAGTAATTTGAGGCAGTGTGCGCTAAATCTGCAAAAACCCATATTTTTTCGTTTGGAATACTACGGGATTTGGAAACTGAGAACTATTAATCGAAATCTGTAACTCTTTCCACAAAGTAGTAGATCCTCCTAAATCAGACACTATTGCTTTCACTTCTACTCCAGATGATTGAATATGTGTCTTATGAGTGAAAAAAGAAGTTCTTTCTTCATTGGAGTGTTTAAAATAAAAAAAAATACTGGTTGTTTTCCACTGCGAAATGAGACCTCTGATTAAAACAAACTGCACTTTTTGAAAAGGACCGAGAATTTGGTCCAGTTTAGAGTCATAGCAGAGTTTAGAATCTATGTGCATTTCGTCGAAACTGAGAACGCATATTTTTCCTACAGAATTCAAATATTGGCATCTTTCCTTCATTACAGCAAGAACATCACTCTGAATTCCTGGACTATATGAAAATTTAGCGCACCATCTCTTTAATGTGCTAGTGCTAGGTAAAGGAATTCCCATTTTTTCTTTCCAAAAATCGTAGCTGAGCCAACATTCTAAAATTTTTCTTTTCTCTATTTTTCAATATTTTATTACAATTTTCTAAGGATATTATTTTGTTCTTCAAATTATCAATACATTCTTGTTTATCTTTACACTTAGGGCACTCAGGGATATTGTCACATAGGGCATTGTCACTTGTGAGTTTTATTTCAAAATCATTCACATTTGATTTATTATTGTCAGCTTCAATTTCGTTCTCGGCCTCCAAATAAATTTTCTTTGGGCTTAATTCGTGTAGTCTTTCAAAAGCACTCTGCATTAGTTTTCTTTTCAAATGTCTCCGATTTCTTTGTGTTATTTCATTTACTGCACACGATAAATTTACTTTCGGCACAGCATTGCATTTCAACAGTTTCTTTTGCGGCAATCCAAGCAAGCGATTTCTCATGTCATCTTCATAATCACTGCACAGAAAATGTTCGCTGCAAATTCTTGCGTTTTTCACATTAATAGAATCTTGTCTTCGACATTTATGTATCCATTCTTTCGTCAAAAGCAAATTATCCTTTGGGAAAGAATGAAATACAATATCTCTTTCTTTCGTATTTCTATAAGTGTTATGGCACGTTGCTACAGCACAAGAAGCCATATTACATAAAAGATACTTTAAATATAGAATTAAAAGGAAAACTGACTAAAACTATATATATATATACACACACACAAATTATTTTAAATATTTCCATTATTAGAAAACAAATATGTATGATTAACATTAATTTGGGATATGCGATCTCCAGAAAATCGTCTCACAAATGAATGAAACTACAGTTTTAAAGGCGCGATATCAGAGCAGGTGCAACAAAGATGCGTCAGATTACTTCTGGGTCCCATCCTCCATGAGGCTCGCGTCGGCGAGGTGTCGAACAAAGGAATGACCTAGCCCTTCTATTTATCCCTGAATGCAACCAGAACACTTTTAACATACGTGTTCTTGATTGTCTAAACCCGGTCATATTGCTCAGAGGGTTAAACGTGGGAATATTTTTGGTAAGGGAGATGCTCATTAATCAACTAATGGATGGTAAAATCTGCAGTACAATTCTAAATCCAGACAATATCACTACAAATTGTGAAGGATGCAACAAAAACGTTGCTGAGGAAAAAAAAAAAAAAAAAAATGGTGGAAATTTTCAACATGGCAATTACCACACTTGGGACAATGGGACTTTATAACTGAAAAAGAAATTTTGTTTGTCTATAGAATTAAAGAGAGAGTATTATGTCAAAAATGAAGCAACTTAAATGACTTTTATTGAGAAATGTTCAATAGAGCAAACAATATAACAACTAAGTTTTTTCCCCATACATTTTGATTCTCTTAAGGTCACAAAAAATGACCCAATATTTCCTAAACGATTATTTCATATTTTAAATTTTAAAATTTCTACATGCCATCTTTTTAACATTTGGAGAAATCCCAAATCCAGTATTCTCAAATCCCAACAAGTTCAGATCTCAAACTTTGTACTGTATAGTTTTTTTTTTTTTTTTTTTTTTTTTTTTTAAATACACATATTACGGCAAACGATTGAAAATATTAATGATACTTTTAAATGCTTCCAAAGCTACTAATAATAAATTACATAATTTTTCACATTAGAGGCATAAAATTATTCAGTAATATAACTGATGTCTATTATAGAGACTGAATTCCAAAAATGTTTGAAAAAAAATACTATTTTATTTCTGAATTTACAGGACAAACAGTTCTATAAGTTTTTTTTTAAAAAATACTAATATATTTTAATAATTAGCAAAGAACAGGAAACAATCAATAATTTGAAAATTAAATGCATGTAATAAAATTAATTTTTTGTGCATTAGAATAATATGCTTCAGTAAAGGAAAAATATAAAACAAAATATACAGATATATAACAAATGCCATACATATAAAGGCATAAAAGCAGTGAGCATACTTTCAGCTTTAAAAATTAGGAAACTTCCTAAACTTACGACATCAGTTTTGGGGTGGAGGGGGGGCCAACTTAATGCAAGTCGGTCTTCTTTAAGCCTCTGCATGGCACAGAATTTGGATCTGCTAATGAAGACCTGTACTGAAACAGCATCTAATATCTAAATTTGTGTAATTACTTATTTTAGGCTATGTTTTCATAAACTTCTATTCATTAAGATATTTACATTGTTGAAGAAAGGCAAAATATTTTAAACTATAAGCTAATATATGACAAGAGATAAAAAATCTCATGATCAGATAAAGGTGGTCATGCTAATTGGTTAAGAAGAAATACAGTGCACTGATTCTAACAACGCATGGTAAAAAATTTGTAAATATGAAATGAAGAGAAAAAGAGCCAAAAAAAATTATAAAAACAGGCATTTTTCAAAAGATGAAATTAAATACCATTTAACTACAGCTAGTAAATTTTGACAAAAGAGAAAAACTTTAAGAAAATCTAATTTTCTATTAAGAAGTTTTCTTTCGATTATTTTAGAAGGAGAGGATAGTAATATTACAATTTTTTTATGCAATTCACCAGGCCAAATACATATTAATTATAAGTTGAAAATATGCTTATAAAGTAATTAAAATATGTTTGAAACACAATTAATAAAAGAATTGCTTTAGTTACAATATAATGCATATCAGATACAAAATTATGTATTTACCTTAAGATTATGAATCATGATTGAGAAGCCGTTAAAAATAATTGAGTAAAATATAAACTAGTTATTACACAGTATTTTTTCCAAACAATGAATTTGTTATCAAATTTTCTTTTGTGAATTAACGGCAAACAGTCTAAAGTTTTTAAAAAAAAAAAATATCTTTAATAATTGCATCTTAACAACATCCATTTTTTTGTTTTAAATTTCAACCATACTAAGGCTTTAAACAACAAAAACTGCATTTACTTTTTTGATATTGCAAACTACCTAGTATACTATTTATGCTGCATTTATTTCCTTATTTCATTAGGAGAATCTCATTCTAATATTCATTTCACAACAAAAATACAAAAAAAACTAATTATCAAAAATTAAAAAAAAATAAGGTAAAACAGATAAAACAATCTTACAAATTTTTACATTTAACTAGCATTTCTGTGCAAAAACAAGAATTCAGCTAGCTGGCAAGAAGGCAGATTTTCTGGTGCACAAAAGTGAAAGCTTACTTTTGGTCCAACTCGTCAAAAAGACATTGAAGGTGCAGAAGCTGACTTAATTCACTATTCTGCTAATGTAACAATTATGGCAGCTATAAACATTAGATTTGCTGAAAAACTTTAAACTAAAATAATTTTACAAACCATTAACTAAAGCATAAAAACTAACCAGAAGATACAAATATTTCAATCATTTTTAAGTCAAAGCAAAAACACAATTTTTTAACATATAAGGGGGGGGAACTGACTCAGGAGGAATAACAAGGTGGGTATATATACACTACATGGTATAAAACAAGCGCTTTCTCTCTCCCTATAATCCCTATGCTTAAATCTTAAAAACTATGCAACGGATTTTGATGCGGTTTTTTTTTTTAATAGATAGAGTGATTGAAGAGGAGAGGTTTATATGCATATAAACATCCATTAAATGTGAGAAATACGTTATTTTTGAGGTTTCTAATGTGATGTCATAAATAATTACATTTTTCAGGCTTGGCATTGCAATGCAGGCTGAACCTACGAGATTTTATCAAATAATGTACTAAGTATTGTACACACTGAAAAGGTCTACGGATTTAAAAATTGCAGGACGTAGCGTTTGCGGCGGTACCGGCCGGCCGGGGAGGCGGGAGCGTGCCTATAAATAGCGCGTCGGAGGCCGCGGTTCTCTCTCTAGCACTTTGAATTTAGCAGCGATCGGACGCGTTATTATGGAGCTCTCTAGCGAAGAAAATAACATTACTTAATAAAACGTGCTTTTCAGCACGAACGTATCAGTTAGGCAATCACTGTACTACGCATTCACTAATGACAAGAAAGCTGTGAACGTTGTATATAAGACATTCTGTAATATATTGTTGTAAAAATAAAATAAATAGGTAAAAAAAATGTAAAAAGTAAATAAGTAAAAATGTAGTGTATGAATTTAGATATTCCAAGATAGCAGGAAATCTCATGGTATAGGGAAAGGGAATTGTTTTACTCCAAATTTAACGCGTGCGGGCCACGAGTAGTATGAATAAATCAAAACTACTGGATCGATTTTAATCATTTTCAGTGAGTGACATAGGCTATATATTTTATACTCGTGCGAAGCCGGAGCGGGTCACCAGTATATAATAATATATAGCGACCCGTTCCCGCTATTTTATATATATATATATATATAAAATATAAATATCTAATATGCAAAATATAAAATCTAGCTTTCAAATAATAAACTAATAGCCCTTTAACTGCTGTCTTCATTCTAAAAATAACAGAGCAAAAAATTAGATTAAATTTAGATTGAAAATTAGATTGTTCTCGAATTAGGTTTTTCCAACTATGTTTTATGAATTCACTCACATCTTAATTTATTGGATTATCTATTTAAAGATAAAGATTTTGATTTAAAATTTTTCACTGAAGTATTTTGTTTTTTCACTTTCGTTTACAATTCTTTTACTTTGTTTTTTTCCTTGCTTTGGGGAAGAGGCAGAATTTTCGGGTGAACTATTATTATTAAAATACATTGAAATGGTTCATCCATACATGTATAAAATTTCTGAAAGTATAAAGTGGATGAACAAACAAAAGAGTTAGATTATTTAAGTCTAAATGAACCAAGTAATGCTGATATAGCTTATCCAGTTGCTTGTATTAGCAAACAGGAAGTATGCATTTGTAAATTTTTTATTATAAAATGCAGTTACTCAAAATTTTAAGATCTTTATTCATTGTAAATATTAAGAATTTTTTTTTTTGTTTTGAAAATTCACAAGTAAAGTATTTAGGACATATTTTGGTACTTTTCCGTTTTGCCGGAGTAGGCAATAAAGTCGCCAATAACAGTACAAATGATTCAAAACGGAATATCCTCGATGGTAAGCTTTTATGCCTCATTTTCAAAACAAGTCGCAGCTATTTTTTTTCAGATTGATTGTTTCTTTCAATACTGGCATGCAATTACATAGAATTTTTACCAGATATTTCAATTTTATGCCCTAACACCATTCGCGGTAATTAAGTCAATTAGGATGCAATCACATCGCTTACCCGAAGCCGAAAATAGAGAAAAGGCAAAGTCAAGGGTTAAATTCATCCATTCTAATGAGAATGCACTAGCGAAGTACAACACTGTGGTTTTACATAATTTTTTAGTAAGCTATTCGTACGAATTTAAATAATTCTGACATTTAAACTTGTATTCGAAATTAAGATTTAACTTGAAATTAATGTAGATAATTACCAAGAGAATTAGATTTTTGTAGCGTAGTTTATGTGAGATGAGATGACTTGGGGTCACGTGATATGAGCTGGTGAAGCAGGATGTTGTACCATGAAAGCATAGTAAATTTTTAAATTAATGTCTTTTTACAAATTAATTGTCTTTATTTATTGGCTTTTTACAAAATTTTAAATGATATTAAAATGTTTAATGCCTTCAAAATAAAAAATTCTTACAACTAACATTTTTTATGTGTATACTGTTATGTTGTCGCCAATAAAATCTGCTTGGCAAGATTTGCGCCGGCGAAACGGAAAAGTACCTATATTTCTTTTTATATTTACTCTTATGTAGATAATTTAAAGTAACAGTATGATTCTGTTTAACATTTGAGGTATGGCATGTAACCTTATTCTGCTGCATACAGGTCCTCTTAACACAGCCTTCAAATTCTTAACAATGCTTCTTAATGTCTAACAACTTCCACAATTTTTTGCTTCATCCTGAGAATGATCATACTATTTGTTTCATGTTTATGTGGAACCAATTTGTTTAAATTCCCTAAAGATTTAATTAGACAAAAAGTACACTGTTTACCAGTGAAGCACTCCATGTTGATTAAAAAAACCCTGGACTAATGTCTCACCAGCCGTTGTTTGCACATTCCTCTCCCAAACACTTTTTGAGAAAAACAGGGTTACTATATGCAAAAATTTATAATAATTATAAAAATTTATAATTATACCTATAATTTATTTTACTACTTCAGCAACATACTTAATGTAAATTTTCACAAACTGAAAAAATATAACAGGTGCAAATAATATGTTAAAAAAAGGCTAAATTTGTTTTTTAGGCAAGAAAAATAAATCCCTAAAGCTTAATAATTATTATGTTTAAATTCAATATACCAGTTACTTAGCGAAACAGAATTCATAATAAAATTAATATACATTTAAGAAGTGAACCTAAATTTAACACAATTCTATAAATTTTCAGAAGTGTAACTCATGAACATTGTAATACTGACACAATATAGTATTATTTATATGTAACAAAAAAGGCTGAACTCAACATACTTTTTTATATTTCCTGATTAATAGTGAAATAATAAAATTGTAGCAACTAAATATAACAATATATTAGCAAGTATTATTGCACAGCACACTTACATGTAACAGTAAGGGTAACGCTTGCATCTGTATAGGAGTAGGAGCAGCATAACCCAATTTATGTATATTTCCTAGCATTAAAGAACTAACACCATAATCAGAAACTAACTGATTAAAGTTCTCAATAGGATCTGGAACATCATTACCTGAAACATATATTTTATGGATCCTACGAAAATGGGTAACCTAAAAAGGGGGAAAAGTATAAATTTTTTAATATGCGTTTTTGCATGTACATAAAAACAAACTGTTGAACAATGAAAAAAAAATCATATCTTTTTCGAGCATAATTTTTTTATTAAACTGCTAAAATTAATTTGTGATAAAATTTCTCTGTATTTCCTTTCTAAAGCAGTCATGAAGTTTCATGTCAAAATTAAGATATTTAATGATCCAAATTTCAGTTATTACCACTGGTTTATGCAGTGGCTACTTTAACAGCCAGGTATTAGTATTTTTTATGCATGTAAATTATTCTTTATGTAAATAAATAAATAAAATAAAAATTATATCTGGCATGAAAAAGTTAATACCAAATAGCATTTTTTTACTTTTTAGAGTTTTTAATTAACAGACTTTCCATGTTACATATATTAAACATGGCATGTTATAACTATGTCTTTGCTAAAAAGATTTTATTCATTCATTTATTTATTTACTGGCGAAACTCCCCCCCCCCCCCAAATTGATCTAAATAATACACAAAGTAATACAATATATTAATTTCTTCACTGGCTCAACTGCCCAGGGTGGGTTCTGGCCTTCTCCAGGTGTCTCTGCTTTTGGCAACTGTTTTCCAGTTTTTTACCTTCAAAATATTTAGGTTTTAAACACAATCAACCCACCTCACTGGGGGTCTACTCCGAGGTCTGGTTCCCATGGGTTTTGCCAGAAAGATTACAGTATATTAACTACTAATTAGGGGAATATGCCAATATAAATTAGACAAAAAAGCAATTTTAAATTGGCATAGATTTTGACTAAAATAGATTTGACTCTATTGATTTGGAAAATGATCAGAGACAGGTTTTTTTTTTTTTTTTTTTCCTCTTTTCTTTTTCTTTCTTTTCTTTTTTTTTTTTTTTCAGAGGCACAATTTTTTAATGCACCTATGCCTGACTGTTATTAAAATCGATACTTTTACTCAAAATTTACAATAATCTAAGGCTTCTTTCCTTCTCATTTTAAATCACAATATTTTTTATAATACACAGTATGAGAAACAGGGTACTCAGATATTATAGCAACCACCTGAGTAGAAATTGCCAAAGCTTCAGAATACACCAAATTCTGGCAACCACATTCATAACAATTATTCAGACAACAAAACCATATGACAAATATACAGTTTCCAACATCACCATTTTCATATGTGTTCTTTTTGTGAATTCCAAGTTCCAATGGCTTTTATAGAATAATTATGGTTATTTTTTATCCAAAACTCATTTTAAAAATTGTGCTTGTAGGATTTCCCTTTAACAGAAGGAGAAAAAAAAAAAAAAAAAAAAAAAAAAAAAAAAAAAAAAAGAGGTAGAATTTCTGCAGGAATACATTATTGTGTCACAAAATTGGTAAAGGTGTTTGAAAGTTGCTTCAAATTCTTTCTCAAAGCTGTTGCTGCATAATTTCCATCACAACAAAAATAAAAACTCATTTGTAACTATGTATTACTTATTCTTTTTTGGAATAAATATATAGTTAAAATGTAGACTATGTATTAATATATATATATAATTTTTTGCAACAAAAGTAACTGTTCTTTTTCTTCCGTAAAATTTGCCAAACTGTGCCAAGGTGGTTGCAATTAATACTGGAAATAGTTACAACAAATAGCAACTTAATTTAAGATAATGTTGACAGTGATTACAAAATTAAGAATTTATTGCTTGTACTTATCTCTTTTTGCTGTCTTCTTTCCTTTCCCCTCTGGGGTCATTTATTGTGCTTGTTGAGATCTGTATTCAGAGGGCCTCAGCTGTCAGGAGGGACATACCATTCTTAACTGATAAAGATTGTGCATAGATTTTATTGGTATGTGTCTTCTTGCATTTCAAGTTGTAGGTATTTTCCTGTTTTATAAAGGTTTACTTTGTACCATTTCTTTTTAGTAAATGATCCTCATTAGTACTTTTCTCAATTTAAGAAAAGAATCTGAAGATAATTTTTGCTTTTGGGGGAAAAAATGTTTAATGTTTGATTTATGCATTGACTGAATAAATGCATGACTTCATGAAAGAAAAGAGAGTTAAGGGCAATTTGCAGAGCATTCTGATTGTTTGTGAAGAATTGTAAAATAGAAAAAATGTGTCCATCTAAGCAGTTTAACAAACTGTCGCATTTCAAATAGCAGAAGACAAATTTCAACAGTTGGTACTGGGAGAGACAGACTGTATATTAACAACCTGATAACTACAATCAATGATCTTTTCTCCTATAATATACGAATATAATCAGGATAATCAATTGCATCCATTCCTGTCTTTTGCTCTTTAATCTTTGACAACTCTACAACGTACCAGCCACAATTTTTTAACTTAGAAAATTTAAATTACGTATGTTTATTTCTATTTATTTGAGTTGTGCTTTGATCATACTCTTATTGCTTTTAATGCTGTTTTAGGTTATGCATTAATCATTATGCTTTTAGGGTTATTTTAGGATTTATTATTTTAAGTTTTGATAAAGGATTTTCCAAGAGGCAAGAAAACTCTTAGAAATATTTTGCTATAATTTAATAATATTTTTTTTTTTTTTTTGTTTATGTCCCTTCACGTTACAGAAGAATTTTACACACTTGCTCCATTTTCATAAAGTTGGAGAAATCTGTACAAACTAACCAATAAATTCTAAAAACAAATTTAATTTATAAGAACACTAATTGGCAACTATCTTAAATAAAATTTTTTAATTCTTAAATTAATTACCATATACTATTTTCACGTGTAAGCTGAAAATTTTTCACATTTTTTTTCTTCATACCGAAGCTTGAAAGTCATCACTCATACAGCTTGATAATATGATTTATTAATGATTCAAACAGGAAAATGATATTATAGGTTAACTAACTGAAAAATGCTACTTTAATTTTATTTAATTCTAATATACATGTATCAAACATTTTAATATCAGTATCTGACTCAGAATGTTCTAACTATTGTCTGAAATCTTTGCCTGAGATAATTCCAAGTGATTGTCACTATTCTTTACTTCACCATTAACATTGCTGTTATCCATCTGTCAATAACACTACTCAGCAAAAGTGTAATTTTCAGTTTGAAACTAGCAGAATATGCAACCCCTTTTGTCTGGGCACCTTTCACTATGTAAAAATGAGGAGTTGTATTTTACTTAAAAAAGCAAGAGATAAAGAAAAAAAAAAAATCTTGTCACTATTTAAGAATGGTTACTACAACTGGAAACCAAAGTAAAATTTGCCATGCTATTGTCAAAGTGCAAAATTATGCACATGCCAAAAATTTAGAGAAAGAGAGAATATTAATATAAAAAAGCTCTTTTTGTCTACAATGCTCTTAGCTCTATTTTTTGCATGGAAATGGAAAGTGCGTTGACAGGTAGCTTCAGTTCATTTATTATTCCAGTTAGTCCAGTTAAGTTATTCCAGTTAAGTTTAAGAATGGTTACTACAACTGGAAACCAAAGTAAAATTTGCCATGCTATTGTCAAAGTGCAAAATTATGCACATGCCAAAAATTTAGAGAAAGAGAGAATATTAATATAAAAAAGCTCTTTTTGTCTACAATGCTCTTAGCTCTATTTTTTGCATGGAAATGGAAAGTGCGTTGACAGGTAGCTTCAGTTCATTTATTATTCCAGTTAAGTTAGACAATCAATTATTCATAATTCTGGATATTATATATGTATAATTGGATTTGGTATATTCTGATTATCTGAACCCTCTGAAATGCATTCACAAGGCAACACATTATGTCACCAAAATAAATAACCCATGAAATTTTCAAAATATATTTACATGGCAGCCCAAAGGTACAAAAGTGTGCGCAGTAGATACCTCCCAACACACTTCCCCCCTCTAATCCGATGGTCATTAGTGTTTGCTGGATTGAGTGTGCTTTTTCCTAGCAAGGAATCATAATGGGATTGTGGAATTCAGCACCTCATGGGGGGAAAAGCATTGCATTTCTTCAGAAATATGGTGTTTTACCCAATAATACAGAATGTAACTATTTATGTTCCAAGAAGTTGCACAAGCATAAACAAGTAAATTTTATTGACCAAAATTTGTGCAATTCTCTAAATGTTTTCTAAGTGAAATTAGATAGTTTTTAAAAAAAAAATTACATATGCATTTCCTCAGAAATGTAAGTGTTTTGTTACCAAAGTTTCTGGCTTTTTTTATTTTATTAATTCATTGCTCTTATATGCAATTCTTAGTAGGCCCTCATTTAAAAAATTGCTGTTGCCATTTTTATACTAATTTGGTGAATAATTAGTTGGTAACAATATGCTGACTTTTCGGAGGGGTGCACAGGTAATCAGAAAGCATTCCTTATTTATAAGATTTAAATTCAACTTATCATGGGTTTTCACTCGCTAAATTTTTTAAGGAAAATCTTATCTCTTGGGTCTTCAAAATTTTATCAGCTTGCATTCTTAAATACCAAATAACTTCAATGTACCTCAAAACAAAAATCAGAAGTTACATTAATGACATTTTGGAGATAAAATGTGGTAAAATATACAATGTTAAAATGATGAATAAAAAATACTGATATACATGTTAAGCTACACTGAAACTGCAATGAAGTGAGAGCTTTTGCAGATGAATTTAACATAAATATATCAATATTTTTATTTATTGTATTCATGGTACCAACAATACAAATGATTTTATTTACAGCAAAGTAAAGCAGAAAGAAACAGGGAAGACAGCTTCAACAAAGTTAATAACAGAGTAATTAAAAAATGAGTACAATAAAATTTTAAATAATATCACTTGAAAAATGACTTACTTCTTCTTTTCTCATTTTAAGTAAGTGCATAGTTGATAATCTTTTCTTTTTTTTTTCTTTTGGTTTCTTTGGATATAATTCATTATCTTTTTCTTCCTCATTAGAGCTATTGTTTGAATCTTTAAAATAAAATAAAAAATTAATACAAAAATTCACACAGTACTATTCACATACAGATTACAGGAACATAAAATAAAATGGAAAAATTTACAACCACTCTAAAAACAAGCAGTATTTCTAATAACATAATTAAATACAAATACTGGATATCACCGATAGTCATGTCCTTTAAGGCAACTATCACCATAGAAAAACAATGTCTGGAATTATGGATGGTATATTATGAAGAAATAAGATAATGCACCTGAAAATAATGCTATTTGTCATACAAGAATCAAGAAGTTTTTAAACAAAAGTGTCAATTCATGCACAATAAATAAGAATGTATAACAAACAATTGTCAAGTTATACGAAATGTCAAGATGGTGGAAGTCATGTTTTCAGGACTCTACTGTTTTATCAGAATTTATTTCATAAGTTAAAAACTAAAATTAATTTAACTATAAAACCAAACACATTTGACATTCACAATGGACACATTTTAAATAATCAGAAATCAGTTACTTAAAGGAACTATAGAAAAGTGAAAATCAATAAGCAGCTAGCAAATTAATCAGCAACTTATTAAGATGTGGCAATTAAAAGGGTCCCTATTAAATAAAATACAGTACAAAGTCAGAAACCCGAACATCCATTATCTGGAATGATCTAAAATTCGGACCTCAAAACCACCAACAACATTTTTTCTTGTAGGCTTTACGCATGCACATTTGATTCTCCTCTTTGCACATAATAAAATATCTGCAGAGTCCCGATTCTTACTTTCACTTTGACACTAAATAAAATACAGTCAAAAGTCGTTAATCCGGACTCGTCGGGACTTCGGCGATTCTGGATTATCGATTTTTCCGGATTATAGATCATCAGTTTAAATCTCGTAAGATGGCATGCAGAAATTCTAAAATTAAAAATATGAAACCGTAATTTATGAAAAAAAGAAAAAAAAGAACAATTATGATCTAAAGGGTTATCAAAATTTACAAAAAAAAAAAAAAAAAAAAAAAAAAAACTTAATATTTATTTGTTTACTTTATTAAACATTTCTTTCAATGTAAGTTGTTTAAGTTGCTTCGTTTTATGTGATAATACTTTCTCTTTAATTATATAAACAGACATAATTTCTTGTTCAGTTACAAAGTTCCACTGTTCAAATCCCGTAATTTCTGTGCCGAGAATACCGACTAACTTGTCGATCAAAATTTTTTCGTTTTCACTAACCTCTCTGTCACCTTCTTCATGTCTTTATCCATTTTTTGCTGCAATTCCACTTCTTGTTTGATGGACGTAGAAACATACTTTCGTTTTGTAGGTCCTTTGGGAGCTCCTGCATCGAAAATTCTATTTGACAGAATCAAAAGTTCAAGTTTACTTTTATAAAATTGCTCTTACAGTCTGCAAAAAATAATAAGCCGCATCCAATTCGAAGATTAAGGAACAACGCAATCATCAACATTAACTGAAATAGATAATTAGATAATTTTAGCTTATACCGTCTGTTATACATTAAACGTGCACGCGAAAACGTATTCTGCACTTGTGCACATGCATATGCGCAGTCGTAAAAGTCTTATGCTCACGCGTAAACGCTTATGCACATGTATCAACGCGGCGCATGCGCAGAAAGTTTTTAGCTTTGAGGTCCGGATTATAGATCATTCTGAATTATGGGTGTCCGAATTAACGACTTTTGACTGTACCTTGTTACTGAAGAAACAATCATTTTAGCATAAATTTGTATGATTGGCTCCATCTGCTTGGCACAGATCTCAAAGAGAAACATTCCACATAGATACATCGTTGATCTGATGCCAACCTGGCGAATCATAATTTATTACACTTTCCTTTCACCTTCAACTTGAGTAATGACTCATGACCTCTAAAAACAATTTTTTTATGTTAGTAATTGAATAATAAAGGAGCATGGTAACCTTTTATGTTGACGATTACGCTTGGCAACGATTACAGATTTAAGTTAAATGCGCCATTCCATACGCTAAAAATAGGTTTTGTTGATGATACTCATAGACCCAAAGATTACATTTAGGGCTATTTGAATTAAGAACAACTGATTTGTTTTATTCACATAAACCCAGAACCAGCGCCAGGGCTCGTATGGCCGCATGAAGTCGCAGAATTTAAGACCCACCGAGACTGCATCAGTCGGTAAGATATCTAGCACCGGCCCTCAATAAGGCTTAAGTATATGTGGGGAATTTATTTATTCAGAACTCTAGAAGCCTTAAGCATGTGCAAGAAATAGACAAAAGTAGAATAAATAAGTAAACTAATACAATTCAGTCTTAATCGTCTCGCGCGTGATAGAAGCAAGATAAAATTTAATGAACAACTTGTCATTAGTCGCCAAGCTCATGATGCATAGCCAACTATGCATAGTGAAGGATAGCTAAATTTGATGATGATAGCAGCTAATTTTAAAAGTTTTCGGATATCACAAAACAAAGGTGAAATTTTCCAATTAACGAATTTTGTAAACAAATGTGGAGAAGCTGTAATAAAAGAAGATGATATAACAGAAGTTTTTCATTGCGATGACAATGCTCCAATTATCAGTCAATAAATGGATGGCGAAATTTGTAATATGGTTCTAAATCCAGAAAATACTGCGGTTAATCTTTGGATTATGGTAACTTGGCGATTTTTGGCAAAAATTTGGCAACAAGTGCAAAATCGAAAACTCTTTGCCGCGGTTTTAAGAATGGCACATACACGGTAACCATGTACACGTCGACCTATTTTTCACTTAAAAAACATTCCAGAATTGCACAAAAATGGTACTGCGCACACTCTTGACTTTATCCATGTACACTGCTTTTTTCTCATAAATTAGAAAAATTTGCACGAAAATGCAGGAAAATTTTGTGAATCTTTAAAGTCGGTAAAAAAGACATATATTTAGTGTCAAATATTTAAATTATTTCCATGCACATTTACTTCTACTAAAACGTATTCCAAAATGCTATAAACATATAATTCCCCAAATCACTATCATTTAATTAAAATATAATTAAAAAAAAAAAACACTATAATATAAATTAATAAAAATTAGCTTAAAATCTTAATTACTTAAAACTAGTTTATTGCTAATAAAAATTTTCCAATAATAGCATATTAATTTATTTATTCCTTATACAGTCAAAAGTCGTTAATCCGGACTCATCGGGACTTCAGCTATTCTGGATTCTGGATTTTTTCGGATTATAGATCATCAGTTTAAATCTGGTAAGATGACATGCAGAAATTACAAAATTAAAAATATGAAAACGTAATTTATGAAATAAAGAACAATTATCACAATGTTTTTTGTTAGAACAATTATCACAATGATAATTTTAGGACGCTGTTAAGAAATTTTATTTAACTGAACACACTTTAATTTGTACGCAAGGTAAGCGGATATTTCCTTTGTGTAGTGATAAGATGAATTTCCTTTTTTATGTTATTTCATTGCTTGATTAAAATGTGATTGAGATTAATATTTTTGTTGGTCCATGTACCGCCAGTTATCACCAAGGGACACCCGTAAATATATTTTTTCCGGTAAAAGTAACTTAGCAGGTGCAAGCTGGTAATTTTTGCAACTTTCTTTTAATTAGTTTATTAATTAAATTACTGGCATTATTTGTCTTTTTTCGACATTCCCATACTATCGATATACTGCAAGGACAGTAAACATTATAAGACAGAAAGAAAATATAGGGCTTAAATACAAATTTTAATTATTAAATAATATTATGTTGATTCATTAAAAAATATAACACTTATATTTTTCCCAAATCTTTTTTGTGCTATTCTTCTTTCCAAGTACACAACAGTCTGTATACACTTAAAAAAAAAAAAAAAAAAAAAAAAAAAAAAAAAAAAAGAGAATTGCTGAGGTATGGTATTGCATGAGCTCTGGCAACATCAATTATCTACCAAATGCATTCTTCTTTCCTTCAGAGATTTTGCATCAAAACTGCATTCCTGAAGAAATTTTATCTAGTTTCTTCCATTGCTGGCAAATTTTAAAGTGCATATTTTAAAATTAAGACATAGAATATCGAGATTAGTTTATAAAAGCTCATGGAATACAACAAAAAGAACACATGCGAAAATGGAGACATTGCTTGTCAGAGTTTAGCACATTCTAAAAATCTCACGATTTCTGTTTCTATTATTATAAATGCATTAAAAACTGAAGTTTTTTATAATTTATAATTCTCACAAATGTCAAATTTTTTTTTCTTCCAAATGGTGGGCATTATGTTGGTTTTTTTTCGACATTGGCCACTCCTAAGGCCGGAAGTGGTGGCCATTTTATTACGGAGGCACCTAATACGCAGCCACCAACCATTACCTCCTATGGAGGGATGGAAAATTAAAACCATGCCTTTTCCGGGATTCGAACTCGGGCCCGTCGGTATCCTAGTCAGCTCCACTAACCACTATACCATCTGGGCAGCACAAATGTTAAATATAAGAAAAGTTCAATCTATTACTATAAAATTCACATACCTGATGTACTTAATTCCTCTTCGGAAATTACTTGTTTTTCAGCATCATCATCATCATCCAACTCATTCTTTGAGTCTTCAAACTTCTGTCTTTTGTTTCGCTTGTAATTCTGTGTAAAAATTGCATTTTTAAATATCTTTAAAAGAAGTAGAAGAAATTATGAGGGTAAAAACAACAATTAAAAACAAGATATTTACACATAGTATATTTAGTTTCAAGAGCAAATTTTTCAATTCTTCATCATAATTATTACAGTTATTTCTTTCTTACATATCTCATCATGTCTTGTGATAGAAATGCATACTGTGGGAAGAACTTACATTTTGATTCATTTTATGCAAGTAATAGCTGACATGGATTCAGAAAGAAAAATAAACAAAGCTATACAGATTCACTTCAAGATTGATAAAACTTCTGTTGTTGCAATTTATCTCACTTCTCTGACAGTAACATCAAATCAAGTCCATGAATTCCATCATGGCCAAGAGTACAAAGATTGAGTTTATCTTTGCCCATTTGTTACCTGTAATTGCCTTGGGCATACTACAGGCAACAAATGTGCTCAGCTGGATCCTGATTATCCTGATTTTGAAGCAAAAACATTACACGCTGATAGACATCCAATTTTCTCTGGAATTCAAATCCATGCCCAAGGTTATAGCAGCCAGCTTCTTTATCAGCATGTCAACAAGGTGGCTTGAAAGTATTCAGATCAGAAAGAATCAATTGATAAATTGATAGGTACACCTTGCAATACTATATAGTTAACAGAACTGTTCAAATTCCAATTTTTTTGGTCAATTTGAGAAGTGGCAATCTAAAATTAATGTGTTTCTTCTTTTTTTCCCCGTTATGCTATAACAGTAATTCTATTGCAATGTTGTACGAAATGTTGCATTAACTCTTCCAATACCTACTGAATAATAACTCTAAAGCAATAAAACTATTCCTTAAGGATCTTAAAAAAATAGGTCAGAGTAGAATTAAGGGTGCCCCTTGTATTATAGAAAACTTATTGTTTCATTTATCGTTAAGTTGTTCTTTCATTTATGATAACCTGAGTAGTTGAATGTTATGGAAACCCTATTACGACATAATTGGTTGCATTTTGAACGATGGGAAACAATTTGTAAGGGCTTATGGTGTGTGTTGGTTAGGATGTTCATTGCTTGTTTTGTGGTTTAGACGGTAAAATGGCTAAATGTGGTAAGATTAATTTCAAGTTTCTGCACGATCTGAAATGAAAGGGGAAAAGAGCACTCATTGACTGGTATGTAAATGAAGGTTTACTTACTCGCCATTGTAAGTGTGCTGTTTGTAGCAAGGAAATGTGTATGATCGAACGTCGGAGAATATTTTTTACTCTCATTTTTGTTAATTTATGTGGCGATGCCATTATACAAATTCTAGTTCAGATAATTTTAGGAAGTTTTTGGATGCTGTCAATTTTATTTGACTAAAGACAGGGAAATTTGTAAATAAGGTAAGTGGATATTTCCTTTTTGAAGTGCCAAGATGAATTTCCTTTTTTATGTTATTTCATTGTTTGATTTAAAATTTAGCTTATTGAGATTACATATTTTTTGTTGGCTGTTGTTCCTTTGACTTTTTAAGTGAATATAGATTGATGTGTACAAAGGTCAAGGGAGTGCGCAATGCCTAGTTTGTGCAATTCTCTGATGTTTTTTAAAATGAAAATAGGTCATTGTGCACATGGATACCATTTTTGTGCAATTATTTGACTTATTATTTTGGTTTTATGTAGCGGCAATTTTTAGCGCAAAAATCATTGCTACACAAAGCCAAAATAAGAAGTCAAAGAATTGCACAAACTCGGTGTTCATGTACAGCCAAAAATTGCCAATTATTGCCAAGGGGCACCTGTAAATATATTTTTACCAAGAAAGCTAATAGAATAAAATCAGTTTTTTCACTTACCCTTTTCAGCAAAACCAGGGGAAAATAAGGCTTTTTTGGGGTGTTTTTAATACTCTTTTTATAAATTTCCTGTTGAGGGGGCACACTCCTAAGTCCCTCATTTTGAAAAAAATTACTCTGCTTTATTCGTTGTTTCTGGCAGGTAAAACTTTATAATTGGTGTTACAAATGTAGGAAAAGTTTTATTATTCAGTGAGTGATTGTACCACTTTTTTCACATATATTTAGCTAAATACAAATCAAACTTGCTATCAACATGAACTGTACTTCTATGCAAATAATATTTGATTACAGGCAAAGGACCCTTTATGGAATAATTGTGCATACCCGTCTGGAGATCCTTAAAGTGCAGACTCTGTTTGATGGTAATGTGGTCAAAACCTAAATTTTTTCAGACCATATGCCTTTCAGCAGTCTGAAACCATAATGGATACTGGCAACACCCATTCAAATGTCACTCTCTCCAAACTAACCCTTGATCTATTCTCAATCTCTCTAAAAAAAACCTACTTGTCCTTCTTTCAATGCAAACTGTGACCACGTTCTCTTTCATACTTCAATTTTCCCAAGTTACTCTCATCCACTTCAATTATCACTTCTTTACCACCGATCAGAATACTAACATTCTCATAATACATTTCTTAACAAAACATATACCAATCAACAACAGCATGCTCACGCACTTCCACACTTCGCATCAAGATTCATTCCCCATTTTCAAAAACCAACATCTCATAATTTACGGCACATTACATATACTCAAATGGTTTTGGCTAAACTAGGAACCTTTCCTTACACTCTTAGAAACATCATCCACATTCACTTTTCCTTGCTTTCTACATCACCCTTTGAACAATCTATAGTTCTCTTTCTCTCACACAAATACATACAGTCAAAAGTCTTTAATCCGGACTTCAAAGCAAAAATCCGGACTTTCTGCGCATGCGACAACGAATAATGTGTTAATGCATGCGCATAATACATTGACGCATGCGTGTTTAATGTATAACGGATGGTATAAGCTAAGCGAAAATTATCTATTTAATTTAATGTTGCAGATTGCGTTGTTCCTTAATCTTCTAACTGGAACTGGTTTATTATTTTTTGAAGATTGTTAGAGCAATTTTATAAAAATTAAGCTAGAACTTTCGATTATGTCAAAAAGAGTTTCCAATTCTGGAGCTACCAAGGATCAAAGCGAAGAGTTCGATGTCCATCAATAAAAAGTGAATGCGGCAAAAAAAGTGATAAAGCATTCTTTGATATCTAATCATTCCGAAAATGTTATCAATTCACGCTGCTCTGCGGAGGGGGGGGGGACGCGGTGCGTAATGAACTGGAAGTTGATCTTCAGCACTATCCTTATCTTCAGGGCAGATTTTTTTTTTTCGGCTTATATTCCTCACTAAAGTAGTATTTCATCTCCACGTCTCCGCTGATTGAATTTAAGCAAATTCTCGTCATTATAAATATCAGAATACACATCAACTAGTTTTTTGGTTGCAATTTCTAATTTCGACTAGCGTAATATATGCTTTACGCATGTGCGTCTTGAAAGAAATGTTTTAAAATAAACAAATAAATAAAGCTTTTTTTTTTTTTTGAAAATTTGATACCATTTAGATTCTTTTTTCATAAATTATTGTTCTTTATTTCATAAATTACGATTTCATATTTTTAATTTTATAATTTCTGCATGCCATCTTACCAGATTTAAACTCATAATCTGTAATCCGGAATCGTCAAAGTCCCGACGAGTCCGGATTAAGACTTTTGACTGTATTATTATCACATTTTGGACAAACAAAAGCAGCAAACTAAATTTCATACATCATTCCAACGCGGCACATTTCCCTTCCACTTTCAATAAAATGATAAATATAGATGAACATTCACTTACTTCTGTCAGCATCATAGATAAATTTATAGCAACTGGTAATATCCTAGTACAGTCAAAAGACGTTAATTCCCACACCCATAATCCGGACCTCAACACTACAAACTTTCTGCGCATAGGCATTTACAAGTGCATGTAAGACTTTTACGGCTGTGAATATTCATGTGCGCATGTGGGTTTAATGCATAACGGACGGTATAAGCTAAGCTAAAATTTCTAATTCAGTTAATGTTGCAGATTGCGTTGTTCCTTAATCTTGGAATGGATCCGTCGTATTTTTTTTGCAGACTGATATACTATTTTATAAAGTAAGCTTGAACTTTCGATTAGTCAATAGAATTTCCATTATATTTACTATGTCAGGATCTACAAGCGAAAGTATTTTCTACAAAGCTAAGTCCACAAACAAAGAGTGGATTGCTGTAAAAAATGGATAAAGGCTATCCTTTGTTTTCTACCATTCGAATCTGTTTATCATTTCCGCTCGCTGGCGGGGGACCTACGGCGCGCAATGAATTGGCGTTGATTCTGTCAGCACTATCCTTATTTTCAGGCAGATTTTTAGTTTATAGGCTTAATTCCTTACGAATGTAGTAGTTCATCTCGATGTACTCCGTCTTGATATGTTTTTAAATCAAATTCCGCATCATTATAATTCGCTTCCAATAGTGAAGAAGTAATTAAACAATAAAATTAAAGCTTTTTTTTTTTTTTTTTGGAAATTTTGATAACCTTTAGTCATATTTGTTCTTTATCATAAATTAAGGTTTCGTATTTTTTTTAATTTTAAAGTTCTGCATGCCATCTTACCGAATTTAAACTGATATCTATATCCAGATCGCCGAAGTCCTACAAGTCCGGATTAACGACTTTTGACTGTATATGGTACAGCCTTTGAGAGATTTTAAAAATCGGCGGCAACACTAAAATGACTGGTTTACAGTTCATTATATGTGTCGTGTTTACGGCTCATAATAATGTCACCAATGTTCCAGGCTATTTGATCATCTAATCAGGTTTATATTTTACATTCCGGATTCAATTATGCACATAATTTTGATTAATAAGGTTAAGAGGGTTATTTTTATTCTTTTTTTCTTATTTAAGTGTGAAAATAGTTTTCATGTAGGTAACCAAAGAAATGTAATCCTGAATTGCATAACTGCAGGAAACAAGATTTGTAACAAGCGCTTCTATGGCTTTTCACGACGTTATGCAATTGTTTAAATTTCAGAAAGAAACCAATTATATATGATAGGATAAGGTTATTTGAAGTTGTCTGTATTTATTTCATCAAAAGT